CATGAGCTCGTTCTAGACCTATTCAATGTAAAATACTGAGTAAACATGACTCTAATGCTGATAACTCTGTAAATCCGCGTGTTAAACCATGTGGAAAGTGTGTCCTCTCTCAATCGGTAGTTCATAATAAACTTGTTAGACCCTTATGTTGTCAAAAACTAGGAGCTGAATTCTATTCCAAGGAATCAACCAAACCATTATTTAACAGTCATAAACTCCTTACTGTTCATAATCTTTACAGACTCCGTACTATAACTGAACTTTTTAAAATAGTGAAATATAGGGTACCCATATCTCTCTACTCTTTACTTAACATGTCTGAACTGAGGGATGACCGTCTAATACCACCTGTGGATTGAAGGACTCCAATCCACAGAATAAACCTGACTTTGTGAACACATCCTGCAATTCAATCAAATCAAGGCTAAACCAATCTCTTCTAGATGCCCAAAGCAGGTTCGATAATGAGTGGCATAATTACAACTTTAAAGGACCAGTTAACTCAAAAAAAAGTTATCCTCATATTTTGACAGATTGTGACAAATAGCAAACTGAGCAACGAGTCGAAATTCCTAAATCTCTAACTGCTCTCTAACGCGTGTAATTAGCGTTTGTATTATTTTGGCGATGACGTCATAAAGTCCCTTGCGCGCACAGAAGAGCTCGTGAGACTGTATTTTACAGGTAAAAATGGACATAATACAATGTTTCTCCCCTAAATAACTCGAAAAATAAGTGTTTTAGGGTACATGTTGCTTCATAAGTTGTATATAAACATGGCCGTTCTGCACAATTTGCAATCATTCAAAAATCTGTAGGGCCTTCATAGCCCAATTTACAAGATACCCATACTTTTGCATGATTTCTGGAACCGGAAATCAGTTTTTCGCCAATAACTGAAAAAGTAAGCACTTTAAGGCATCTGTTTCTTCGTAAGTCATAAATAAATATGCTAATTGCGGTTCTTTTGCACCCTGTCTAAAGACTCTATCACGATCCTATCGAAAATGGGCTCAGCACCACGCCCAAAATGGTTTTTGGCAAATTTCTCGAAGAGTAAGGATTTTAGGCCATGTGTTGCTCAGTAACTCCTATATAAACATGCATATGCCGCTTCGTTTAAGCCTATTTAGAAGTCTACGACCTTCAGAAGCAAAGGGTCGGTTACGTTATTGGGTCAATATCGGCGTGGTCAATATGTCTCCAACCGAAAATCGTTTATTCATACTTTTGAGAAGGTCTTTGCAAAATTTCGTGAGTATACGAAAATTTGCAGGTTCAATTCCATAAATGTCCATAAATGACTGGACTACACTAGTTTAGAGTTAACTTTAGAGAAACTCATAAATCATTATTATCTAAAATTAAGCTGTCAGTGTCCATGATCAACCTATGGCTACAATGTTTTACGTGAAAATTGAAATGTAAAAATCAGGAGTAATATAATAAGTGTATTTCTAGATTAAAGTGCTATCTCATAGTTTAAGAATTGTATAGATTAACGTATGTCGTTTAGCCATCTAAGAATCGATCGTGCCGCAATATATATGGCCAAAGAATAATAGGGTCTTGGAAATTTTATATTTGTTCAGTGGGTCGATTGACTGAACACGTTTGCACTTGGTATCTAATTTTACCAGTAGTTTATTTATGTTATGTACCGATGATCATACAAGTAGGACGATAACTAGGTAAGTCAAATTCAAAACACACCGCTCACCGTACACTCCAATCAGTATTACGTATACCGGGTATTTTTCAGTTCCCACGGCACCGTTCTGATAGGAGCTACTTCTACTAATAGTCCGATGGGAACGGCCGTAAAATAGCCAGACTTCATGTCTCCTGTACTGTCTGGCACGTGTGGATTAAAGTAAGAAATTTCGCTATGCTAAAAATATAATTGCTCTCGGAACTATGTCTTTTAGGATAGTGAACCATTTGACTGCTCGCATTCTTCCGAACAACTGTAATATTATATTACAGAGTTACACTCTGATCAGCTATATTTAATATATAGCACATTATTTTGTGTATTAGTTTCATGGACTGGGGAAAAATAATCGGTACAGTCTCCCTTCGTTTTAATGAAGCAATGAAAAAAATCCAAAATTATCACATATGACATAAATTGTAATAGCAGAAACTTTCTAACCGTACATTCACCCGCCACTGTTCAAGAACTTATGTCACTGTTTAAAATCCTGACGTGAGCACTGTACATCCAATCAGCTATTCATATAGTTAGGGTGATAGCCAAAACTATAAGGATTTTGGAGAACTAGGGAAATAGTCATAACTCTAAAATTTGAGTGAGTTACACGTGTTTTATTGACGATGATAAACATTTGTGCATTGTATTACGCTATGCCAGCGCGCACTGAGGGACTTTATGACGTCACGCGGCCACAGCTTATTATTGCAATAACACGCGTTACACGTAAGCTAGAGAGTTGGTTCTTTCGGCGATACAATTTGTTACCAGTTTGTCACAGCTGATTTAAATCTTAGCCAAATTGGAGACTACAAATTTTTCAGTTAACTGGTCCTTTAACAGTTTTGGGCCATGCTAGATTATTGATAAAAACGTGGAATTTATGTAAACAAATACTTAATTACTTAAAATATTGCCGTTTCTGTACGGCGCTACACGTAATATTTATTATAAGCGCGACGTAGCTACTCACTACTTCAACATTTGCGCGGGTTTCTTAAGCGCGCACATACGTTTATTCTTGGCCGTTAATCAGACCCAAGACGCGACATAACGCTATTATAGGTGGCAGTGACTGTAATTTTCTACAACAATTACTGAATCATCCATCCATAAATTGATTTACAAAATGACACCTAATCCTCATGTCTCGGTGTTCAATTAAACGGTACTTGGTTAATTGGCGGCTGAAATGTGGTGTCTGACGTGTGCAGCTAGATCGGACTCTGATATTATGTATTAGCAAATTTGTATAGTGTATAATTTTTTAGTCTTTATCATACTCTGCAACCTGGTAGCGCGGCTGACACAAAAACAAAATGTTGGCCTGGCTTGTGCACAACCAAGTAAATAACACGCACTCCGATAAAAGCCGTCTGGAGAAACTCCGCAAAATGTTCATTGTAGTCAACGGGCACAAAGAAGCACTAAGTTAGCAATTGTGTCCTTCACCCTCCTACATAATTTGAACATTTTCGTGGCTAACTCATTGAACAGCATCTGAATTAATATGTTTCTAGTATTAAAAGATTCAATAAGTTATCTTTTCATGTACGCTGTACACTGTAGTTACAAGTTAGTAAATGCAAACCAAACTTTTTCGATCAGCCGCGCGCCGAACCAGTGTTGCACTAGGTAAAAATTGTGTATATTTTGTTCATTTTTGAGTGTAAATTAATTTATTAATTCATCACAAATTATTTTATTATAATAAAACCTCTTATGTGAAATGGTTATTTTGACTTTAAATATTTGAACTAAATATGAATTGATTGTGGGTATAAAATAAAATTTGTTTTACTAAAATTTGTTTTACTATGAAAATTGATTGTTTTCCATTACATCTATAGAACAATGCATAATGAACATAATATTTTTTTAGTAAATTCTCTTATAATCTCAATGCAAATTCATTTAAATTTTACGGCTACCAGCAGCCAATTTAATTCAGGGAGGCGCCTGGTGACAGAATTAAAGGATTTCAGGAACGTAATTCCTAGCCAATTGGATCTTGCTGTATCCCACATACATTTAAAAAGAATTTGTAAATTGGTAAAAATGTGGGATTTGTAGGTAATTTTATTAAAGCTAGCCGTTAAATTTCCACTCAGAATCAAGCGTTCCTTAGATTCCTCTGCTCCTACACATTTCTACACGTTTCCTAAAATTCCTGGAAATTAGAATCCAGGAATCTATGGCAATTTATAACTTAATCTAGGCCCTTTACTAGGCTTCTTCACCCGCCTTCCTACAAGCACAACACTGCCTGCGGAGGCCCTAGCATTTTGTTGCGCCATTGATGGCATGGGATATTGTCCTTATCTCATAATTCATAATTCAATCAATGTTCTATACATTTTGATGTAACTTATAGTATTATATACCTTAAGAACGAAAAATTTAGTCTACCATAAATTTAGTCAAAATTGTGACTAAAATTGTTGTAAACCAAATTTATTGAGACTAAATTTTTCGGCGACTAATTTAAAAGCAGACCAAAATTTCAGTAGAGCGTATATGACATGAGCGTATATTAAATTGTTTATAATTAATATAATGACATCACCATCTTACTCCTGAACTACTTTGACTATTACACGCGTAATCCACTGCTTTTATTCCTTCGCATTCTCTTACATCCTTTTCCCATCAGGCAGTATCTGCATATATAGTTAAGCTAATATTGAAGTAATTATGTGAAACGACCGCTTCTAAAATTTGGCCTTAAAAACCACTGCTATATGTTGTAATAATATGTGCGAAATCGAAAAAATAAAGCTTGCTATTAAATAATGGAGAAATCAAATAAATGGAATGGAAAATGGTCTCGAAAAGTCAAAAAATGTGACTAAAATAGTTGTACTAGACTAAAAATTTGCGAAATTTGTGACTGAAATTATGGTCACCAAAATTTTTGTAACCAAATTTATTGGCTTTAAGGTATGTTAAAAGATGTAGACCCTCTTACAAGATCCATGATATTTTGACAAGGCTCCTTCTTGTACCTGTTAAAAGTTCAAGAAACTTCCTAGGATATCCCTTCAGTGCACACTGTTAATATAGTACTATTAACTATTCTTTAAAATTCCGTGGGTAATGATGATTAATCAATCAATATATAATAGATGTGCTGGTGGAATTTGGGAGTTCTCAGGTGTCCAGTGATATTTTTCTTCAACAGACTGGCTCACATTTCAAAATCTCTTTTTTTTAATGTGATGAATAACTGTTAAGTCAATATTGTTATAGTAGTAGTTTACAGTAGATAAATAAAAATACTTGATAGGATTAGTTACTGGTGTCAGTGCACAGCCGTAACAATGTTCAAGCTAACCAAGACAAGTGCTCAAATGAGTACACGAAACCTTCGTACCACTGCTGGTCTCTTCCAGCGAGTACCCATGAGCAAATTTGACCCTGAGACAGACGTCCGAGAAAACATGGCACTGTAAGTTGTATTGAATTATTATTCATTTTTTATTGAACATCTGGTCAATTTTACGGTTTTTATAACCTTCCAAATAATGTTAGATTCTATTGAGCTGTGTAAAATGTTTTAATCTTGCTCTTTTTCAGTCTCCAGAAAAATGTCGATATCGTTAAGTCAAGGCTTAGGAGGCCATTGACTTTGTCTGAGAAAATTGTCTATGGTCATCTTGACGAGCCAGAAATTGCAGATATCGTCAGAGGTGAGATTCTGTCTACTTGTCTATATTTACACAATTATGACAAAACAGTAAAACCCTGCAGCCATTTCCTTCCCCCAAATGAGGGCTTTACAATTCACACTTCACATGCATTGTTTGAACAATCGAAACCACAATTTACCAATTTACCGTGAACCCTGCTTTAATGCGGATATTTCCCCGAACTCGGCGGTAAATCAGGGCCGGGTTTAACTGTATTGAACCTTATCATCTAAAAGTGATACAAATTCTTCATATTATGTAGCTAGGGTTTGGACCAGCTTGACCTGGTTAACACTTTTCCATCCTATTACATAATACTGGTCTAACATTCACGATATAAACTATTTAGGTGAATCATATCTGAGGTTGCGTCCGGACCGTGTAGCAATGCAGGACGCCACAGCTCAGATGGCAATGTTACAATTCGTTGCCAGCGGTATTCCTCGAGTGGCAGTTCCCTCGACAATTCATTGCGACCACTTGATAGAGGCTCAGTTGGGAGGAGCAAAAGATCTCAGCAGAGCAAAGGACATCAACAGCGAAGTTTACGATTTCTTGTCAACAGCAGGTATTTTCAATTTAATACTTTGAAATAGCTCTCCCGCCCATAAGTCAATGATTATATTAAAATATAAATCCTTCTCATTTCCTATTAATATTAATGCAGGCGGAGCTACTATTTAAATAAACTTGTGTGCGATAACAATTATTTTTCGCGAACAAGTGGTATTATTACCACGGTATCAAATATTTTGTTCTCAATAGTATAAAAAGATGATCTTACCAGCTCAAACATTGTTTGGCTTTTGTCCCCTTTTTTATTCAAAAATATTTGTTCTGAAATTCAAATAAGATACATTGATGATGGCCAGTTATTTTGAAGGTTGGGGGATGGGGCAACGCTGGGATCTTTTTATCTCGGCCATGTTATCAAAACCTGTCAACATCGTTCCGATTTATACAGACTTGGTCGATCTGAATAGAAAACCACATTTTATAAAGAGCCTGATTCAAAATTTCCGATTTGGCATTTCAAAAATATCCTTTTTGATGTGTAAGTAGGTTATCGATTTTACTTTTCTTCAGGAGCAAAATACGGGGCTGGTTTCTGGAAACCCGGAAGCGGAATTATTCATCAGATAATATTGGAGAACTACGCTTACCCCGGAATTATGCTCATTGGTATGTAGTTGATAACGTGCCAATTCTAAGTTATAATTCGAACATATAAAAACTCTTATTTTATTGTAATCTTGTATTTAAAATGTCTTACAGTTACAGCATATTTCTTGCTTGCAACTTATAACATTGTTCAGTGCGCATGATGTGTAGTGTAAATGATGTGTCGCAAATTGATAGACTGTTTTTTAACTTTCCCAAGTGTGTACACTGTACATGCATAACAGGTTGAAAACAGATGTGCATTGTTCAGTGTAGCGTTATGTAAAGTGTATGGCGTGCAGTCAGCAGTGTGTACATGTAAAATTCTATTTCCATACTTACCATTATATATAACACGAATTGATTTAATAAATTTAGAAGATAATAATTTGCCGATGGCTGCAATTACCCAAATTAACAAAGTCGTTCATGCTGCAGCTGCTTAAAATCGTATTGCAGTGACCTTAATAACAATTAACAATATAACGTTAAATGGACATCCGTCATCCAACAACTTACCACTTCCCTTAGAAGTTACTAATACAGAGTACTTAGTATTTACTAAAATTACTAGTAGTATAATTCACCAATCAGAGCGATAAACAAAGTTTAACTTGAGTGAGACTAATCATAGTTGGAATGTTTCCACATTCAAGTGTAACATATTATTATTACATTAATTAAATACATGCATCTCTGCGGAGTGCGGATACTTTTGTATTACATGATATATTTAAACACTGGAGCTGGCGTGGTTGACTGCAGACAGAATTATGTGATAGAACAGGCACATTAACCGCGGTTTCGCCGCGGTAGTCCCACTATCAACTTAACGAGATTCTCCCAAGACAGATTCCTTCGTAACTGCAATAATAATAATACCTGAGTAGCTAGAACACAACGCTCAACTGTGAGTCTAACCATAGTGTTAACTTATTTAGGTGATAGCCTAGCTAGATTGCTTAACTTAGACCCTGAACTCATTAGATTATAAAAATGAGTGTAACAAGTTCTGATCTTTAATAATAATATAATGTAATGTCATTCTTTATGGAAATGATATGGACTTAGGAAATGCAAGATGAGCCAATATATATTCAATTTAAATTGGCGGAGCTTAAAATGGGACCTGAGGTGCACTTAGTTTAAGTCCATTTACACAACCGTTTACCAAATCTGCCCATGGGCTAAAAGTTATAGCTTAACCCCTCGAAATATGCCATTGGTATGTCACATTTTATGCATGTAATATTCATTATTCAAGGATATTAAATTAATCAGTCAAAAGTTGACTTTAGTACAGACAGATATTTATGTTCAATTATCTTCAGGGTTCAAGTACAGTATAAACGATTATTAATTTCTAATACTCAGTGTCGTTAGATTAAAATATGGAATATACAGAGTTGCCTGCTGAAGTGTTAAAATATTGAAGTATCAGTTAAATCAAATTATCAAGTCTCTTATGCAATATCTTGATTTTTTATCATCACCAATTTCAAACTAAACACTCTTCTTTCCGTTCTGAATAATGGTCGGTGCAAAATATAATGATTCAAAACTTAGATCTCTTGGACCTCGGTAAGATTTCAAAAAATGTTAGATAAGACTCGGCAATGTAGGAAGATTCTTACTTTGCAGTCCGGCATTATTTTCGAATATCTGCACTGTCTAAATGTTTCGAAATTATTATTGCGTTTTTAAAATTAGAACTTGATTAACAAGACATATTACAATATGAACCAAGTTGGAAACCTTAGAACTGCGAAATAAATGCAGCTAATCTTCGTTTAGATATGAGCTGGGGGCGGGGGTCACACTGTGAACGGAGGGGTGTGAGTTGTGTGATTAATATAACTTGGTTCAGGTACGGACAGTCACACTGTGAACGGAGGGGTGTGAGTTGTGTGACTAATATAACTTTGTTCAGGTACGGACAGTCACACTGTGAACGGAGGGGTGTGAGTTGTGTGATTAATATAACTTGGTTCAGGTACGGACAGTCACACTGTGAACGGAGGGGTGTGAGTTGTGTGACTAATATAACTTTGTTCAGGTACGGACAGTCACACTGTGAACGGAGGGGTGTGAGTTGTGTTACTAATATAACTTTGTTCAGGTACGGACAGTCACACTGTGAACGGAGGGGTGTGAGTTGTGTTACTAATATAACTTTGTTCAGGTACGGACAGTCACACTGTGAACGGAGGGGTGTGCCCATATCCAAAAACCCGCATTCTCGCATTCTAAGAATGTAGGAAATTTTTAAAAGTAGGAAATTTTTGACAAAAAGTAGGAAATTCGAGAGCCAACTCTGAGAATTTTCGATAATATTTCAGTAGGAATTTAAGTGAAAGAGCAGACTAAAAGTTGCTGGACCGTTATTTAAATGTTCTCAGTCAGGGATCCACTGATCCAGTCTATTAAATTTCGTTTCACAGACCAAAGTTTGTTGCTATTAGCTACAAAATCTGTGCATCAAGTAACCACTAACCAGATGGTAATTATTGGGGCATTTTCGCGTACACGACATAAATCGTTGTCATTATTACTTTATTAACATTTTACTATCTACTTATCTAGTCTATGAAACCGGATATGTCTACAGTGTCACCCGATATCTGTATTGGCAAGCAGTAGCATATACACATCACGTCTTCAATGTGTGTATCACACTGCACACACCCAGCCCAAATTCGTGTGGCGTGAGAAAATATCAGAAAAACAGGGCGTTTTAACTAATCTGTACGATGATGCTAGAATGGGCGTGAGAATTGGACTTTTTCTAGTTTTTTAATTACTCTATCTTATTTAAATAGTAAATACTAATAGTCATTATTATATTTTTGGAAAATTTAAATTCCTTGTTTCTTGAATATTTGGTCTCATACTTGCTTCCTTCTCCAAATTCCCTTAACCCTGTATTAGTTTATAGCTTGAAAGCAGAAAGTGATGGTAGTAGATGAGAAAACATTTTTGCCAAAATTATAAACTCTTGATACTTCATGCTGTCTCCTATTTTGTGCTTTAGTTAAGCCAAGTGTTTAGGAATTCTAGAATCCAGACAATTTATCCCAATAAAAATTGAAATCAGAAAATAGTATGCTAAAATCGTTCTCCATTGTCAGATTCGTTCCAGGAGGCCAAATCTAGTTTAAATTTCCAAAATTTTCGGGGGCTTCGCCCCCAAAAGTAACCTAGGATTATCTATTAAAAAGCATTCCGGGCCCTAAAAAAGTAAAATTGAAAATCTGGAATCCGCCATGAAAAATCTTTGAACCGCGCGAATACAAAGACTTTTTATGCGAGTGAAGCGAGCGGGCCACAGAAAACGAAAAAATTGAGAATGTAGGAAATTAAAAAATTTTTGGATATGGGGGGGTGTGAGTTGTGTGACTAATATAACTTTGTTCAGGTACGGACAGTCACACTGTGAACGGAGGGGTGTGAGTTGTGTTACTAATATAACTTTGTTCAGGTACGGACAGTCACACTGTGAACGGAGGGGTGTGAGTTGTGTGACTAATATAACTTTGTTCAGGTACGGACAGTCACACTGTGAACGGAGGGGTGTGAGTTGTGTGACTAATATAACTTTGTTCAGGTACGGACAGTCACACTGTGAACGGAGGGGTGTGAGTTGTGTTACTAATATAACTTTGTTCAGGTACGGACAGTCACACTGTGAACGGAGGGGTGTGAGTTGTGTTACTAATATAACTTTGTTCAGGTACGGACAGTCACATTGTGAACGGAGGGGTGTGAGTTGTGTGACTTATATAACTTGGTTCAGGTACGGACAGTCACACTGTGAACGGAGGGGTGTGAGTTGTGTGACTAATTTAACTTTGTTCAGGTACAGACAATCACACTGTGAACGGAGGGGTGTGAGTTGTGTTACTAATATAACTTTGTTCAGGTACGGACAGTCACACTGTCAACGGAGGGGGTCTTGGCGGAGTCTTTGTCGGAGTTGGCGGAGCTGATGCTGTTGATGTCATGGCTGGTATTCCCTGGGAGTTGAAGTGTCCTAAAGTTATTGGAGTCCATCTGATAGGTATGAGACCTAGAGGCTGGTTTCCACTTCTTAGACGAGTTTCTTCTTGCTGGGCTTGCTCTGACTGGCAATAATGCTGGGATGTAAAATTGCGCGATTATGGGCAATTAAGATTTCTTGGATGAGAATCTTTAAATGCTATCAATTGCTTCAAATTACATTTTAATTTATTTACAAATTCCATGTTAGTTTGCTCTCCCACATCCTTGAATCATATCACTTTATCAGGTGAAATTAGCGCATGGACGTCTCCAAAGGACGTTATTCTGAAAGTGGCGGATATTCTGACAGTAAAGGGCGGAACTGGTGCTATTGTGGAATACTTTGGACCTGGTGTTAACTCACTGTCCTGCACTGGAATGGGTACTATCTGTAATATGGGCGCTGAGATCGGAGCCACAACTTCCATCTTCCCTTACAACGAGCGTATGGCACGTTATCTTCACGCCACAGAACGTGGGGAGATCGCCAAGATCGCTGACAATTACAAAAGTGTGCTGGAAAGTGACGTGGGCGCTGAGTATGACGAGGTGATTGAGATTAACTTGTCTGAGTTAAAACCTCTGATCAACGGCCCCTTCACACCTGATCTGTGTACCCCAGTTTCTGAAATTGGAACCAGAGCCGAGCAGGAAGGCTGGCCAACAGAAGTTAAAGTAGGTTTGATCGGGAGCTGCACTAACTCCAGTTACGAAGACATGACCAGGTCCTCTAGCATCGCCAAACAAGCCCAAGCTAAGGGTATCAAGTTCAAATCTCTCTTCACTATCACACCCGGATCCGAACAGATCAGGGCGACTATCGAGAGGGACGGTGTTGATCAGCCCCTCCGTGATATCGGGGGGTTAGTTCTCGCCAACGCGTGTGGACCTTGTATTGGACAGTGGGACAGACAGGATGTAGCTAAGAACGAGAAGAACACAATCGTTACCTCCTACAACAGGAACTTCACTGGAAGGAATGACGCTAATCCTAACACTCACGGATTTGTTGCATCACCTGAGATCGCTACAGCGTTAGCACTTGCTGGCACGTTGAAGTTTAACCCTGAAACTGATACTCTATTAGATTCAGAGGGGAACCCATTCATGCTGGACACACCATATGGAGATGAGCTACCCGCCAATGGCTTTGACCCTGGTACGTCTTCTTTCTACTGAATTGAATTTTTGCGCTGTTAAACTTGTCGAAATTGTATAATTTATTTCTGGAATGCTGAAAAGTAGCCTGAACAGGTTAACCCACTAAGTCACGTGATCAGGTGAGGACACATACCAAGCGCCTCCTGCAGATGTTAGTTCTGTTGAAGTTGAAGTTGATCCCAGCTCCAACAGATTGGAACTCCTTACTCCTTTCTCTGCTTGGGATGGTCAGGACTACCACGATCTTCAACTTCTTGTTAAGGTTCCTCCATTTCTTTGTCACCATACAATATTTCATTAAAAGTTTCTTCAAATTTATTCAAAATTTTTTATTAACGATGTTATCACACAGGTTAAAGGAAAGTGTACAACTGATCACATATCAGCCGCCGGACCGTGGCTCAAATTCCGTGGTCATCTCAACAACATCTCCAACAATTTCCTGATAACAGCAACAAACAGTGAGAACGGTGAGATGAACTCTATCAAGAATGTGTTGACCGGAGAGTTTGGTCCAGTGCCTGGTACTGCTAGAGAATACAAGGCAGCCGGTTAGTGTTCAATTGTTGATGGTTTAGTTTGAAACATGATACACTGCAAGAGATATATATGTGTAGATTGTAGGGTGCAGACTGCAGTAAAAATCGGTTCGTTTCATGGGCAGCAATTATCAGTTTTTCACACGTCATCGACTCTTCCCCTGCTGTTATAAAACTAAAAGTCACAATCGAACTACTTTCACAGGTATTGGATGGTTAGCGGTCGGTGATGAGAACTACGGAGAAGGCAGTTCTCGTGAACATGCTGCGCTGGAACCACGTCATCTTGGCGGTAAAGCTATCATCGTCCGATCCTTTGCACGAATCCACGAGACAAACCTTAAAAAGCAAGGAATGTTACCTTTAACTTTCGCCGATCACGCTGATTACGATAAGGTTCAACCTGGTGATAAAGTTTCCATCCTTGGACTGACAAGCTTCGCTCCGGGAGTTCCTCTTACCTGCAAACTTACACACCCTGACGGTTCTACTGACGAATTTTCTCTCAATCACACTTTCAACGACAACCAGATCGGATGGTTCAAGGCTGGCAGTGCACTCAACGCAATGGCACAGTAAATTAGACTCATTGATTTATATTGTTTTAGACATGATTTTATTGAGGTCATCGGCTTTGATTTATGTTAATAAATCTTCAGTTTATGTGAAGTGTAATTTATTGAACTGCGTAGTAACATAGTATAGATATTTACAAGTGATTTATTGAGATTCCAACTGACTTGACCTAAAACTCTTAATCTGTGGCATCCTATGTGTGGAGAGCGTGCAAAAAAAACTTAACAACAGAGAAACCACATTTGTAAGAAGTTGATTTGGATCATTGATGTTCATTTGGCATTTTCCAATAATATAAGCGTTTTTCTTGTTTGGATTTATAGTCACATCTTGTGCTCAGCATTCTTTGCTGGAAGTGGAAGTACCGGCAGACATGGAAATTTCTAGATCAGGACAAGTCGAGTGGCGTGTTACCACTCTACACTTTTTCTTGTCTAAAAACAACAAATGTCCAGAGCTATTGGAAGTCTAACGATCTTTTCTATTTTTATAGAGTTAATTCTCTGTCTGATCATTTCTTGAATAAACTAGGAGCCAGGCCATTTGTATAATGTATGTTGTTACATGTATTTGCTGACGTCGTAAGAAGAATCCAGCGGGGGTGACATTCCTTAAAGCATGTAAGGCGCGAACTCCGAACATCTCAGTATTGTTTAAAGGTCTTCCTAAAATTCCCGTTCTGCACGCGCACGCATATATGCACGGACGTTTATGTGCGCGCATACGTTGTGCATATGACATATTTTATACAAGAGAATTGAAACGCCATCTTCAGACGTGAGGATATTTAGGCATTATGCATTAGGACTCCTCCAACGACATTAAATCAATTCCTTCTGTAAACGTCCTGAATAAATATAGTTACGAAAACAAAATTTACTAAACATTTTAAAACATTACTGAACACCAAATTTATACGGGTTAATTGTTAACGGGTGATACTCTTTAAATATTCGTTTCAAAATTTTCAGGACCGTCGACGAGTCTAAGTCGGCGCGCGTCCTGTTAGGTTTTAAACTTTGAACTTGTAGCGCGATGCACGCCTGGGCCGCGCCGCGCATCTTCTCGTATAACAGTAGATCGACAAAATGCACCACTGGGCCTTGCATTGCCGAGATGCGAAGGATTGACATCGTGAATCAAATTAATATACTGAATGTTGAAACACAAAACAGCTCTTCAGTCAAAAATTGCATTATTTGGTACATCACGTTGTTAAATTTAATTCACGTTCAGTTTTTATGGTTTTTTGTTTTTTGGTTCAATTTGCTTGCACAGCTCAAAATATATACAGTAGTAGTAAATCTTTCAAAGTACGAAATATCTCTTTAAAAGAGCATCCTAGGCACCTTATAGATATCAAAACGCATAAAAAAGAAAACAAAAACATCAACCATCTTCTAACTTTTTCCATTCCTCCCTATCTAAAGCCAAAAATCTAAGGTCTTCGAAATCAGTCAAATTCTTAAGTCTAATATCAAGATTTCTACTAGTCAAGTCTTTTCTAATAACATCTAATAAGTTTAAACATGGTCTACCCCGTCTCCCTTCCATAAAAATATCAGAATTTATAGCAAATAACATAGAGGTGTATGCTGGTGAGTCTTCCTGTCCTCTTAAGATATGTCCTAACATTCTCCATCGAAACTTAGAGACTCTCACAGACAAGGGAGTGACAAAATATATACAATATATATACAATATAAAATAAAAATGCACATTGATATTTTGTAGCGCGATGCACTACTGGGTCGCGCCGCGCATCAAATAATTCTTCTCGCAACCAGATATCTTCGGTAGATCGGCAAAATGCACCACTGTGCCTCTACTCACAGAGCTGTGAAGGATTGACATCGTTAATCAACACTGTGCCTCACCGAGCTGCGAAGGATTGACATCGTGAATCAAATTGATATTAAAAGGACTTTGACGCTTCGCCGCGCTGCGTGAACTATCATTCTTACTGAAAAGATCGTTGCTATGATAGTTTGCAAAGCAACGATCTGGAAGGGTTAATTGACATCGTCAATCAAATTTGGTATTTAATTAAGCTGCGATAAAAATTAATCACTAGACTTGCAATTGGTCGTGTAAATTCAAATTAATTTTAGTACTAGATAGTAACACTAACACTTGGTTGACGTTGTAGGTTTACAACCTACCAGGACGCGCGCCGATTTGGACTCGTCGACGGTCCAACTAATATATGCAATATGGAACAGATATTTACGAGTATTACCCGTTAAGATTGACGATGTCAATCCATTTTAGATCATAGTTTCATAATATAATTGTGCTTGTAGCGCAATAGACTACATACCGTAACGCGCCACGCATCAAATAATGTTTCTGACAACTTTTACAAACATTAAAAAAGAAGTTGTAACAGCCAGTTATGATAGACATGACAGATAGAGAGTATAAATTCTCCTGCAAAGCAACAAGAAACTACACTCAGAACTGGACACACAGCAAAGAAGTGAACGCCGAAATAACGACTGAATGACATTTTTACTATCTACAAAGACAAGCAGAATTGAAATACGTCAGGAGCTCGATTCAACACCACTGGCAAAGTTGATGTTTCAACTAGCTGGTGAGAAAGGGAAATAAAATAAGTTTAGACGGGGTTTACACAAAAATGTTGTAAATCGTACTGAATTTGTCACAAAAGGAGCAAGGCCGTCAAACAAGTTACGAAACAGAAATATCAATGTCCCGATACAAACATGAAGCTCTCCCCTGAATATCAAAGCACAATAGCTACCAAATACAAATAATCTGCATGGATGGTCGTGGATTTGCTTGCTACCCTAGTATATCATAAAATTATCTGAATTTTTAACCCTCAACCCTTGGCAGCTGCATGGCCAAATTTCATGGTGCAGGGCAAGATCTGAATGTTTTGTGTCCATTCACTCAAGAAAACCCTGCTTGAGTGCCATACCTTTTCTTGACATTGTCATCCATCCTGCCAAGTTTACTTCTGTTCACTGAAAACCCATCCACCATCAGTAGTGTAACGTTTCAATTTGGCACCCCTGCTGAAATTGTGTGGCGCCCCTACAGATGCTACAGACTCAAGAATACCATGACCTGACCTGACAGAGCATGTGGCAACCCCATCCTTCCTAAAATTTCCTTCTCCTTACATCCTAAACCATCTATCATCTCTTTCACCTCCACCTAAGAAGCCTACTGTTTTTCTATGATATTGTAATGTACATACTTTACTCTTAGCTCATTAAACCCACTTTTACACATGACTCCACATTGCTATCACTCCATCATGCATAATCACCTTTTCAGAACCTATAAACACTTCCTTATCCCACCTCCACCTAAGAAGCCTACTGTTTTTCTATGATATTGTAATGTACATACTTTACTCTTAGCTCATTAAACCCACTTTTACACATGACTCCACATTGCTATCACTCCATCATGCATAATCACCTTTTCAGAACCTATAAACACTTCCTTATCCCTTAAAATTGATGTATTATTGTTAATACGAGCAACAAGAAACATATATTTTGATCCTTCGGTTCTACAGCATCATGTATAATCACCTTTTCACCAAATTATCTCCAGCCGAAGACGATTATTACGTGATTTTTGAAAGCTGCTGCTACTATAAACTTTTGTATCACTTACAAGTTTTAACGATCAACCTCCAATTTTATGTCCAGTTGCAGTTTTATTATGTTTGAGTATTTATCAACATCACTTCAGATTTTAGCAGTTTAAACAGACTATGATATGGCAAATCTGAATTTCGAGCTTAGTCACTCGCCTCACTCTCTAAGCTTGCAGAAGACTTTGCTAGGTGGCAGATACACTGATCTGAAGAGGTTAGGTGGGACCAACAGTGTTGTATTTTCTGCGCTTGATACTCCATCAAAACACAGGTTTGTGAAACATCATGAAGCATGAAAAATCAAAAGGCATAACTTCTGCCATTGTTAGCTCCAAGCGATTTGATCCCTCATTCCTGCCACTGAGCATTGTCTACTGTGAAGTATACATTTTTCTTAGATCATAGAGAAACTGACCTTGTCTCGCTAAAATCAACCATTTGTCATAAAACAAATACTCACATTTAAATAAATTTTACTATATTATGATTATGTAATATGATCATCATAGAACATTCTGTTCCTCGTTGTTCAAGCTCTTATTCGATTTATGATTAAAGGAATGTAAGATAAAACTTGTTTCATTGTCTTACACTCAAGTCAAATCGATTATAATATATCCACCTTGTCCGTGATTTTTCAAATTTTACAAGATCAAGAAAACATTGCATACCTTTTGCATTTTATGTCACAAAAAAGTTATAACCCTAATTATGATCACAATCGCCTACATATAAAAATAACAACAACATATTAATGGTATTTTGATTATATGAGTTCTTACTTTTTTCAGGGTTGCGATCAAGCGACTGACCGCTTTAACAGACCAGCAATGTCGAGCAGCAATAAGAGAAATAAGGATTCTACGCCATCTTGAGCACGACAACATTGTCGACTTGTTTGAAATACTGGGACTTGTTGATCGGGAGAGGTCAGACAGAAAAGAGCTTCTCGCAGTGTATCTGGTGTTGGAGCATTGTGATACGGACTTGCACTTTGTATTGAAAAATCAAACCCTTGACAGTGAACATGTAAAACTTTTCTCATATCAGTTATTGAAAGCTGCAAAATACATTCACTCCTCCAATTGTGTCCAAGGCGCCTTATCCGTCATACTTTTCTGATTAACCTTGATAAGGGAGAGTTAAAAATTTGTGATTTTGGCAGTGCCAGGATGATAGATCCTAATTACGATCATACGGGATATCTTACTGGTGGAAAAAGGTAAATCATGTTATCTGCTATATCTTTAGTATATATACTATTCTATATTATATAATATATATATATAATAATATATAGACTTACACAATCACAGGCCACAGATAAACGCCATCAATAAGTTATTGGATTTATTACATGCTTCGTTTCAAGTAGCAAATTAAGTTCATATTATATGTGACGTTAATAAGTTTCTAAAAGTTCTTTTCAGCACTTTGTGGTACAGAGCTCCAGAGTGCATCATCACCCCACAATAGTATAATAAACGTTGTGACATCTGGTCGATTGGTTGCGTTATTGCTGAAATGATTTCAGGTTTGTAACCTTCCAATTATGGTATGACACTTTTCGTAAAATAGTAAACAGCTCAATGTTAAGTTCTAACAATAACTACATATTAATATATTGTTCAAAAACCAAACAATTTTAGCTGCTACCTCTCTTTTTAGCAACCCTCATTTGTCTAGCTTATCAATAACCCCACCGCTTCCCCCCTCAGGTAAACCCCTATACCCGGGTAAATACGAGCACGAGCAGCTACTCCTCATGTCGGAGGGAGTATGAAACGAGTAACTGTTGTCTTTCTCCCACCGAGACCTCATGTTTAGAGTTAACTAGGGATCCTAGTTACAGCGAGAAACCCATTCACCCGCTGTCGGACAGGTTGCCCGGCAAATCGTATCAGTCAGGTATTGTTAATTGCATTTTAACAATAATGGAAATACTATGTTACTTTGTTAAAAATGGAACTTTCTAGTTTCTACTGCGGCAATTTGTTCTGCAGTTAGGAAGTAGTTCTTTTGAGATGCTTTGCAAAAATGCATACCATAATTTTTCTCATATTTCAGCACTTAACATGCTAGAAAAGATGCTAAAGTTTAATCCCGGCGAGCGGGTGACGAGCGAGCAAGCACTAGCAGATCCCTATTCGAACGTGTGATTCTACCCGACGGATGAGCCATCAACAGTGCCCTTTTCAGATTGAAGTACGTGACGGACTCATGTCGGACGTCAAGGTTACTCATTTTCTTCAATTTTACTTGAGTTCCAAATATTTCATATTTTCATAATAATCGTGCTTCACGCTTCACTTTCATAGACATTTAAATACATTTTCATAATACCTTGTTAATAACATAGCTGCTAACTAATTCTGAATACTATGCCGTAATAATTCGATTGTCTATTCGCAACGTCTAGATATTCACAAATTACCGTGAACCTGCATTGTTATTATTATAGTAAATGCATAATTATTATAGTAAATGCATTAATTAAATTAGAATCCTTCCTTCTTATCTTTGAATCTGTAATATCTGTTCACTTAGGTTCCGTAAATGTTTTTGGGCCCATAATCACTGAGTAATGCCCACAAGATGTGCTTGTATTTTGTGAGGTCAATCCAGTATGCAAGTATGCACTTATTTGCTGGCAGCTACCTGTGTGACTTTAGAAGTTACCACAATTTATAATCTACGTAATGCGTATAGTACATGCTACATATTATGTTTGATGGTCGAACAAAATGTAAGCTATTTGTAGTTTCAGCGGGATACATTGTGATCATCAGTACAGAATGTGTGGTATAATTTCAAACTATGATAGAACTTAATGTGCTAAAGTCTAAATATACAAATATTTATTGGATGATATTATTATATATAATAAATCATCCAATAAATTATATACATCTATAATGTATATTGTATTATATGTAATATGTATATAATATACATATTACATATAATACATATGATATATATATATCATATAACGCGGAAACTATCCTAAAGGACACGCAATATGAACTTAATTACCTTTATTGTTAAAAGGTTAAATATTCTAATGTGTCTGATCACAAAAAACGGATGATCACTGTTAAACGATTTAAACACTCAATTAGCACATAAATCCCGCAATTAATTGCTCATTACACGACTCTAGTTACGTTTCCAAGCCTATAGTCCTTGTCAATTTAAATCCCGTCCTGAAACCGTTTTGATTTATTTACTCTGATCACTTGGGGGCCATTTTGTAGGACACCCTGTATAATGTATATTGCATTGTATATACATTATACATGTTATGTTTTGAATACATAAAACATGATGTCATGATTATATGATACAATTCGTACATACAAGGTGGCCCAAAAGTAACTACCCACTGTTAACCCTTTATTTAAACTTCACGTTATTCGTGTCAGAATTCCACAAAAATTTCAGAGAATATAGATATGCCGATATGGGTCAAACTAAGGATTCTGATGAAAAAAAAGATGGCGTGCCACACCCTCTGTAATCAATTATGAAACTTTCAGAAATTCTAAATTTGACCCATATCGGCATATCTATATTCTCTGAAATTTTTGTGAAATTCTGACTTGGTTTTAAGTGAATTATTAAGGGTTGCAGTGTATAATTGGTGTGGGACGTGGGTAGTTACTTTCGGGCCACCCTGTATATAATATATATTATGTTTCAAATACAACATAATTCGTACATCTTGAATGTGTGTCCTGATAGAGCTAATATAATCTATAGTATTAGTAAAGTCTCGACGCTTCTAGAAGCCTGCGCAAATTTCGAGACCTCTCATTAATATGCTACAGCATTATGTGGGTAGCTTCTGCTAAACAACTTGAGAGTATCCAGTTTCGCCGAGCTCTTCAGTTCGTTTCGTTCTGTAACTCGAACTAGGTTTTTAAAGAGGTTAATGTGATTTACCTTTGTTTAATTGGGTTTGTAAATACTGTCCACATATCTGGGGCAGTTTAAATTCACATAATCACAGCGGAGTCGCCTGTTAAACACATTGTGGTAGCCTCAAACTTGCAGAGCCACTTTCAGTGTGTCGGACTGAATGTAACTCCTGTTAGTATTTTGATATAATTTATCCCTATTGTTTTTGTTGGTAACCTTTTTTGTAACTCCTGTATTGTAATAGTACACTTTGATTGGTAACTTTGTGGTAACTCCTCCTACTTCCGTAGCCATGACACCGTGTGCAGGGGTAGCTATCTTAACCTCCGGAGGCGATGCACAGGGGATGAACGCAGCTGTTCGAGCTGTCATTAGATATCTCACTCATCAGAATATACCTGTCTTCTGTGTATTTGATGGCTACGAAGGACTTTGTAAAGGTGGTGATTTGATCAAACAGATGGGGTGGAAAGATGCACTTGGTATCCTGAGTAAGGGCGGTACTTTGATCGGAACTGCTCGCTGTCCGGCATTCAGGAATCGTGAAGGCAGGAAGATGGCTGCAAAGAATCTGATTGAAAGAAAAATAAACAGTTTGGTAGTGATTGGTGGTGATGGGAGCTTGACTGGAGCCAGCATCTTCAAAACTGAGTGGCCTGACCTCCTAGGAGAGTTACTGAAAGAGAAACAGATATTTCCAGGGAATGCTAAGCTCTGTTCCTATCTCAACATAGTGGGAATGGTTGGGTCTATTGATAACGATCTGTGTGGAACTGACATGACCATTGGTGCGGACACTGCCCTACATCGTATAGTGGATGCCATGGATTGTCTGGCAAGTACTGCAGCTTCTCATAACCGTACCTTTATTATAGAGGTCATGGGGAGGCACTGTGGTTACCTGGCTCTGATGTCCGCGATCGCAGGTCCTTGTGACTGGGTCTTTATTCCTGAGGCTCCCCCTGAGTCAAACTGGAAGGAGGTTCTTGTGACCAAGATGAAGAACGCAAGTAACTCTTCAAAGAGATTCGGTCTGATAGTGATTGCAGAGGGAGCCGCTGACTGTGATGGAAATCCTATTAAAGCAGAGCAAGTCAAAACACTGCTCAGTGACAATGGGATGGATGTGAGAGTAACAGTTTTAGGGCATGTCCAGAGAGGGGGCCAGCCGACTGCATTTGACAGAACTCTTGGGTCTAGGCTGGGTTGTGAAGCTGCGAAGGTTATCTTGGAAGGGATCCATGCTGGAGCTGAGATAGACCCATGTATAGTGAGTTTGAAGAACAACACTATAGTTAGACTCCCTCTAATGGAAGCTATCAAACATACTCTTAGCATTAAGGAGTGCTTCAAAAATAAAGATTTTCAGAGAGCCCAGGAGTTGCGGGGTACGGGTTTCAGTAAGAAAGTTGAGATGAGTAAAATGCTGAGTGTGCTAGAGGTCAAATCGCTTCCTGAAGATGGCAAGCAGCTCAATATTGGGTAGCCTTCATTGGGGGTCCAGCTCCAGGCATGAACTCTGGTATAAGAGCCCTAGTTAAGATTGCTGCGTACCATGGAAACATAGTGACTGTTTACCACGAGGGAACGGACGGGATTTTAGCTGATAACTCGGAGGTGATCTCCCCTGCCCAGTGTGAGTTGTGGAGTATGAGAGGGGGTTGCATTGCGGGGTCTAGTCGCTCAACTATCAACTCATCCAATGTTGAAGTTGCTCTGTCCAATTTCGCCAAACGTAACCTTGACTGCCTGGTTCTGTTTGGAGGTTTTGAGGCTGTTACCTCCAGCCTTGCTCTCACCAAACATACCACTATGCCAGTTTACTTGGTTCCGGCCAACTATTTAGCAAAACGTACCGAGGCTATCGATTTATCTATAGGATTTGCGATTTTCCCTGAACACGATAGTTCGCTCGGTGGATTGTATCAAGCAGTCCGCTGCTTCTACACGTAAGAGAGTGTTTATAATTGAAGTGATGGGAGGGAATTGTGGTTATTTGGCGGTGTTGAGTGGTTTAGCCAGTGGGGCTGATGCGGCGTACATTCCTGAACTGCCAGTCAACATTGATGAACTTCAGTGTGATGCTTACAAAGTTATGGACAAAATGGAACAAGGTTATTTTATGATTTTTCAATGTAATGATTCCCTGTAATTTTTTATATTCACTCTGGACATTTGTCCTTTGTTATGGTTGATTGGTCAGGCATTACTAACCGGGTATGTTATTCTTGCAGGGTGTCACAGAGGAATAATCATAGGAAAAGAAACCAGCTACCTCACTACAAAAACAGACCTTTGTATACAGCTTGTATGTGATAAAAGAGGGACAGTTTGCCGTAAGAAGCTCAGTTCTAGGACACATTCAGCAGGGATTCACCCCTTCACCATTCGATAGAACGCTCGCTGCTACTTTCGCTTGCAAGGTTTTTATCCCCGTTTTATCCCGGGAGACTCCTTTTTTAACTTAATACTATTTAGAATACGGTCCATTTTTTAAAGCTTTACTACCATTGTGTGGTCGACAACATCACCTGACATATTTGGAAAGAAGCGCGAGGCAGAAGAGGGCTCAACCAATTCACCACAGTGGTCGTCCTTGATACGTTTTTAAAACTTTTGACAGCTCGATTCCTTCATTCAATTTCTTCGATCTCATTCCAGATTTTTCCCCCAGGTTTACAGAGACATAATAAAGCGCCTCACCAAAGCACATTTCACATCAGACGACGTGGTCGTCCTTGGAATCCGGGGAAGTAGCACGGTGTTTACACCCGTGTTGGAGCTCCAGATGGACCAACAGCGCCGTGTGCCACTTGATAGCTGGTGGCTGGACCTGAAACCTCTGATCCAGACCTTGGCTCTGCAACCCAGTACTGCTAGAGCTAAAACTAGTCGTACGGCTGGCTGTCCTCATTGCAATGGTGGAGGTTGTGATAAGGGTACCTCACATTAGGAAACTTCGCGATTCGGTTGATTAGATTATGAACATTGTATTGATGATATGAAACTGCTTTGGTTTTTTTTGATACTTTTTTTTCTTTTTTGTGGACACCTTGGATTATTCTTGGTTTATTTTGCTTGAATAAATATGGTTATGTAATTTTTTTTCATTACTCATTCGTTTTTGATTCTTAAATTTTCAGAATTTGCATGTTTGGTTTTCAGCAAAGATTATTAATTTATAAGTATTGTCCATATTAAAATGTTTAATATGTACCTTAATTATGTAATTTATTTACTCCAAATTTTTACATAATTGAAATAAATTGCATGATCTGCAACTAATTTCTGTTTGATTGCCTACGCATAAAAACATAATAATGGATCTTTCTTGAGGCATGATATCGTGATTTGATGACTGAATCATGGCAATAAATTACCACTTTTCACTTCGCCATAAAAGGAATAATAAATGTTATACAAAATGTTAGATATGGAGAATACGATGCATAAAAGAATAAATATTGGAAGAGCTATCTAAGGCTGCTTTTATAAATCACAACAAAACCAAATTACTATCATAATCATTATGAAAAACACTGGGGTGCTCGGTTGCCTACACTTTTTTTCACATACGTAAAAAAAAGGCAAAAGTTGTAGTGTAAAAACGTGTAGTGTAAATAAATAAAATAGCCTTAAGAAAGTGTAAAAAAGTGGACCTTATGTTCCCGCCAAAGGTAATGTTTTACTTTGGAAATGTACTTGGCGAAGAATGATGTTAGAAGATAATTTTGTTAAGTGTTAATTAAAAGTGTAAATTAGTCGTATAAAATAGTGTAAAATGTGTAATAGGTGTAGTGCACCGCCCCCCCCCCCCCTCCCCTCCCAATTACTAAAGTTTATTTGTAGTCGTTCAGTTGCCAATAATTTTCACTATATATATTTAGTTATATGTCTTTATTCATAAACTTTGTTAGTGTAAATCGTTATCCTTGATTTGTACTGTTTACTAACTCCAACTTCACAAAAAACATGACAAGTAGATTTTATTATATTATAATTCTTGTGACTCTTGTGACTCTGACCGTTTTCATCTCTCTCACAGGACATACTACTTACTGGACTGACTACCCCGATATACTGCGCGGGGGAGGATGAGTCATTACATCAGAAAGAGGAAGAGGAGGAGGAGGAGGAGGTGGATACAGTCAGTGAGTACTGGCCTGGAACCAGCCAGTCTACATATGAAAAACTGTAGCGAATAATCCTGACTGCAACTTTAACCCAGCTCTATCTCTCTCTCACTCACATCTGAAATGTAACGTGACTATGTGTACAAAGGACGCGTTGATAATTTGCAATAATTTAACTTTTAAGTCGGGAAACCGCCCTATAATAAGTCACCTGTTTTTTGGGGCCCAGATTGCCGAGTTTAGGGCTAAATTTACAGGGTTCTGTTGTGTCTAGGAATATATTTTAAACCTTTTTTCTAGCTGCCAGGAAGATTTGGAGATTTGAAATTAAAATAAGGGACAATTTTTTTGACGTTTGAAATGGAGTCACTTTTAAAAATCCACCCTAAAATTGTCAACTCTATATTGTGTAGATAATTACAAAATGTACAGGAGGCTGAATTTATCTTTTGTCACTAGTTACTATTTGTTATGTCTTTTTTAAAACTTAAGCTACTTGAAAACATTCACTCACTAAAGGAAGTACCTCAAAAACCGTATACCCCCTAAAAATGGTCACGTGCACCACCCCTAAACGTCAGCCTAAAACAGGTTGTGTGTATAGAGCACTCAGAATGTTGTCAATTATTAATTTTAATCACTTCTGGGACAAATATAACCTATTTCTGAAGAGGTGTCCCCCAGAATTTCTCTCTCTGTGAAAAAAAAAAGGTGGGAAATGTAGTCAGTACTTTTTGTGGACATCTTTTGGGGACTTTTTTGTGAATACTCAGAACTTACGGAAAACAGTAACTCAGTCAACATATTTAAACTGTAGTTAGATTATCTAGTTTATAAAATAAACAATTGGCACAAAAGAAATGGATTCAATGTGATTTATCCTAGTGCAAATTGCATGTTTTTTTTTAATTGCATTTTTTGGGGATTTTTAACAGCATCCTGCTTTGGCAATTAATTTTATCGTGACCTGTAGTTAACACTAAGCCACCCAGTAATCGATCTGACCTTCTCTTTAGACTAGATTTGATGCTTTTAGCAAAATGGAATGTCAAAAAACTACGTTTTTGGTACTACTAGTTTATGGGTAAAACCTATGATTATGCCCCCTAAGTATAATGTTCATTTTTTTTTCTCCCCTAAATATGTCAAATTTGTTTTTTATCGCATGGTGTGCGATAATAGCTCGTGTTTTGGCACTTGTTAATTATTTACATCAACTATTAACGATTGTGGTATGCATTGATCATAGGAAATGCCTGGAGTAATTTATAGGTTTAAAATGCTTTTTAGGGGGGGGCTAATTAAGACATTTTTAGGGGATGTTTTATTTGCGATTATAAAATATAACTTAATTCTTGATGCTGCCATAGCGTTCCTAATATTACCAATTAGATGCTAAAAATGAATGTTTATAGGTATGGTTATACTCGCATTTTATGGTGATTGTAGTTCAAGCCAGAATCTGAATAAAATTACATTTTAGGGGGCGGCCAGGTGACATTTTAGGGGAGGGTAGTAATATTGAGTAATGTATATAACTTCCATATCTCAGTCCTATTGTACAAAGTTGTAAATTATGTAAAATATCACAATTCCTAGGCCAATAATCCGAGTAATTATTAATGGATTCCAGAGTTATTAAATTGTGCGCTTTTTTTCAAAAGTAAAAAATTCGTACCAAAGTGAAAAAAAATGCCCTTATGGCATCATTTAGTTTCAATTTCTGGATGTGGCAGGGTCTGAATGATATTTTTTTTATGTTTAGGTGTTACCAAAATGTTTAGTAAGATACTTTCTAAGATGTTGGGAATTCCCCAATTCAATCAAGAGTGGCGTTTTTCGGGGTGGGTGACATTTTAGGGGCGGGGTTTACCCCGTAACATATCTTTTTGTTATCGGTTTTGACGTCGTTTTGACGTCGTACTATCGAGGACTACAGCAAACAGTTGAAATTCCAACTGTCGCTATACTTAGTTATAATATGAATATGTTATATATTATTGTTATACATATAATGGACGGTTGAATGTATTGGGACTGTATATAATATGTAAATTTTACTATTCGAGGGTTTTACATTAACACGGAAGATCTCCGATGTTATTTGAAATTCTGTGTAGAAGAACGTATCACGATTTAAATTATTAGTGTTTGTTAAAGGTGTATCGAAAGACGTCTGTGTAATCTATAACTGCGCAATCCTACAATCTTAATAACCATGTTACTATTACGTTTCATTAATTATTTATTTTGACCATTGCCTGATATCGGTTCACTGTAAAATGTACTTGTACGTCACGCGCGATCATAACCTGAAAATGAGACCATGATAGTTCTGTAGTTTCTTATGTCACGTGGTAAATGCGCGCTGCAAGGATTATATTGAATTGTTGCTTCTAAATTTTAGCCTAGTTAGGGTGATGTACATTTATTATTTGACAGCCAGACCTATGTATTATGCGTCAAATTTTTATTAACTCAATTTTACATTGTAGTCATGTTAGCGGTTCAGGCACGGAAGCGGAAGAGATTGCACAACAAAATCAGCCAAAATGAAACCGGGGAGGATACTAATTTTGACATAGTTGTAAAGAAGAACAAGAAGAAAACTGAGAAACCTAAAGGACTGACCGCTAGCGAAAAGAACGCCAGACGCAAGCATAAGAAGAAAATCGAGAAGATTAAAGAGAAGAAAGATCAAAAGGAAGATCGGGAGAGAATCCTCAAGTCATTGGAAGAGCATTCGATAAGTTCTGAGCAGTTGAGCTTGTTCCACAGTCGTGTGGGAGAAAAGCCAAATACTTTGCTGGTAAAGAGCAGGTGAAGCGGTCAGCTGTCATAGTTAACCATAAAAAAAAGAAGAAGAAATGCGGTGGCAAACTCGATAAAATACTGAATCCGGTTGTGGAGAAGCCTGCGGCTCTCAGTCCAAGTGAATCCAGCAGCGAGAGTGAGACAGATGTTCCTGAAGAACATACTAGCGACCCTGGAGAAAGCTCTGTTGTGGAAACTATCCCAGAACCTCTAGATATTCCCGAAATTGTGAAACCGGTGACGACAGTTGAACCCCCTTTCGTGAACAAATCTGTTGTACCAAAAGAACAAGGACCCAGGAAACCTTCCGCCTATGTAAGGTAATGTCTTCAGGCTGAAACTCCCAAAGCTTTGAAGTATAATTATATTTAAGGCATAGCTCCATCAGGAGGCTAGGGGTGTGCCTCCCCCATCGAAAATAGTTTGTAGGGTGCGTAATTTAAGACTATTAAGGATACAAAGAATATCTTAATAATGAAGGAGTGATTTTCTTACTCACTCTGCTCTTGGAGAAGTAAAACGTCTTGTTACCAACCTGGGATGATTTATTTCGATCAATCCAAATATCTGCTTTTTGGATAAAACTGTTCATTTCAGTATAGAGCGTGATGCAGAAATACAAGCAGCCCGCCTTCGGCTACCAATCCTTGGAGAAGAGCAGGTGACAATAATCCACTTTTTTTTCTGGGCCCGGAACAGTGTAGTGTTTTTGATTATCACAATTATAGGTACTTTATATTTTTTATTTTCGGTCGGTTACATTCAAGTTTCACTTTTCATTGATCTCTAAGCAACATCCATCTTATATATGGATGCTAATATATGGATATTAATGTTTAGGTGATCGTAGAGAAAGTGACAGAAAATGATATAGTGGTGATAGTGGGTGCTACTGGTTCTGGTAAAACTACACAAGTTCCACAGTTCTTGTACGAGGCTGGATACTCTAGTGATGCTATTCCTGGAATCATAGGTGATTTCTCAATGTTATTAGACAATTTTTGTTATGGAGATTTTTAGATGCAATTAGGACGCTTTTTGTTATTTCATCTTACATAAATTTAGAAAAGATCTCATAATAATTGTTCCAGTATGTGGAATCAAAAAAAACTGCCCACCAAACTTTCCTTCAGTTAGTTCTACATCTTGGATCTGCTTAAATTATGTACTGTTATTACAGGTGTAACTGAGCCGAGAAGGGTGGCTGCTATAACCACTTGCCAGCGTGTGAAGAAGGAACTCAATCTTCCTTGTGTTTCCTATCAGATACGGTGAGAACTTAAGAATTTTGAGGGATGCACGTTTTGAATACTGTGGCACTAGATCTAAGACGGTTAAAATTTAAAGTTGACAATGTTTGTGATAAGTTTGTGATGTCCAACAGATACGAAGGCAATGTTACCGAGAACACGAAGATAAAGTTCATGACGGACGGTATCCTGTTACGGGAGGTACAGTCTGATTTCCTGCTCACCAAGTACTGTGTCATTGTGATCGATGAAGCTCACGAACGTAGTGTCAACACTGATATACTGATCGGTAAGGGTTTCGTTTAAATTAACCGATGAAAAAACGAATATGTTCTGATTTTGTATCTTCTTTATCTTGTCATGTCATCATGTCTCTACACCGTACGCTAACTTGGTCGGAAGTTGAGAGTTGGAATTCCGTGCTGTATCTAAATTCTTCCGGGCACGCACAATATAATCTCACCTTTAAATTTATTTAATCCCTTTTCACCTGGACTCCTATATTTTTACTTTATATTTTGTTATTACTCTATATGTGCCTTATAATTATCATGATTTTATTTCAGGAATGTTATCGAGAGTGGTTCCTCTGAGAAGGAAACAAAACAGACCTCTGAAACTGATAATAATGTCTGCCACGCTGCGTGTAACAGATTTCACTCAGAACGACACCCTGTTCTCCATCCACTCCGTGGTGATGTGGGGGGCGGCAGCACCCAGGTCACTCTACATCCACAAACAATGGAAACCAAGGAGGATTACGTACGTGAGGCTTATAAAAAGGTGTGCAAACTGCACCGATCCTTACCACCAGGTGATGTGTTGGTCTTCTTAACGGGAGTACAGGAGATAAACCGAATGATACATCTTCTCCGTAAGACGTTTCCTGAAAAAGTAGACAGTGGTGGTGAGGAGAAAGGGGGAAAAGAAGATGAGCAGGAAGCAAAACCCGTTCAATTGGACAAGTATGATCCTTACGAGAACAAGGATGATAACCCTACCGAGCCTATGAAACGAGTAGAAGTAACAGACAGTGAAGAGGGTCCAGCTGAAAGTTCAGATTCAGAAGATGAAGAAATGAGATGTCAACTACTGAACTCGGTCACTGCCCCCTCCTTGCCCTTGCCGATGTACCTAAGCATTACCCCGGACCAACAACCAAAGAGTATTTAACTCCCCAATCAGTGAAAACTACAGATTGGTAATTGTCGCAACTAACGTCGCTGAAACATCCCTAACCATCCCGGGCATCACGTACGTGGTAGACTCCGGTAAAGTGAAGACCAAAGAGTACTGTCCGGTTACTGGCATGTCTCAGTTCAGGGTAGTTTGGGTCTCTCACGCTTCAGCAGAGCAGCGTGCTGGACGTGCAGGACGTACTGGGCCTGGTCACTGTTACCGGCTTTATTCCAATGCTGTGATGGGAAATGTTATGGAGAAACACACTGAACCAGAGATTTCAAAGAAACCAATAGATGGGTTAGTCCTCCAGATGAAGAATTTGAATATTCACAGGATTCTAAACTTCCCCTTCCCTACCCCTCCTTCTTTGTCACTTATAGAAACCGCTGAAAAAGAGCTTCAATTTTTGGAGCTGTTGAAACCAGGACAGACAGTGAGCAATACGCCCGTAAACAAGATAACAGAACTCGGGAAACAGTGTGTAAATCTCCCTGTGGCACCACGTTTCGCCAAACTCATCCTCCTTGCAGTCAAAGAAAAGGTAACACAGTTTGCCTGTCCCCTGGTCGCTGCTCTCTCAGTTGGTCACCTCTTCACAGCCCAATCCATACTCATTTCAACATAAAGGTGGTCCAGCCAAACTTCTGGGTGACTTCATGGTGATTCTTACAGCGGTTGGAGCGTGGGAACATGCCGGTGCGGGACAGCCCTGGAGCACGACTCATCACCTCCGGTACCGTGCCTTGGTGGAGATCAGACAGTTGCGGAGACAGACTACTTGCCTAACATCCTGAGGCAGATCAAGAAGGTGGCGCTCGCACACTTCTCATTGCGCCTACCCAGCCGAGTTAATTATCTCTGGGAGGATTACTGACGGTTGTGTCTGGGAGATATATGGGTAGTTGGAGGAGAAAGGGACGGGTACTGATGAGTATAGCACGGAGTTGATGGAGGAAAGGGTCCAGTTACACCATGAGAGTGTACTTTACGGTAAATAATAATTATCTTAATTATCTGATTATTTCAAATCGGTTTTTTGCGTCCGAAAGTAGAAAGTTTCCACTTTCAGCTAAAATACCAAATTGGCCCCTCTTGATAATAATCATAACACCATGATCACAAATTAAATACCCCACCAGGATTGCACACGGAGTACGTGGGGTTCTGCACCTTGGAACAGGAGACCTCAGGAGTGAAACTGAAGACAGTGTTCGGGATCGAAGAGGAGTGGTTACCAATCCTCTTACCCAACAAGTGCACGTTCTCCGATCCGCTCGATCAACCTCCCCCTGCTTACTCTAATATTACGGGTGGGTGACAACTGTCTGACTGTCTAATATTCGTTTTTGTGTAGTTTAATATTGTGATGTTAAAATATTTCAGGAATGGGGTTAATACCAATAATTAATTATGAAGGTTAATATTTTCCTTTTTCAGGCGAAGTGATGTGTCACCGTACCTCTACATATGGTTTGAGATCCTGGGTGTACCAGCTGCCAACCTCTCTTACCCGGTAGGAATGAAGAGGTTCAGAGAGTTCGCAGCAGCACTACTCGAGGGAAAGGTTTGTCATCTTTGATCGACTTTTTTTTTTTAATGTTAAAACATTGGTCTATCAATTACTATGAAAGCAATCTGCAATTTTGCGGGAGGCTTGTACTTTTTGTCTGTTGTCAGTTTAGTTCGAAATAAAAATCGAATACAATATGTACATGCAAGCACATTTCCTGAACTCCTTCTTACTTCAGGTTATCCCGGCATTGCAACACTACGACTCTCTTCTTTCTAGCTCGTCCAGGAGTTCTCAGGAAATCCTGGGCCACACTCCAGCCTCGGGCTGAGGCCTTCCTGAAACAACTCGTCAACAAGTCAGTCAACGAAATTATTTCATATTTTATATTTTTTGTTGTGATCTTTGTTATTCCAGATGGTCCTTTCTTCAATGTTCGAGGCCTGTGTATTAATCTAAATACACACTATAATATTCCTTTTCAGAGATATCGACACGAAAGAGAAGCTTCTGAAGATGTGGAAAGATGATAGAAACTTCCTTTACTCTGCTTTCTTGCAGTGGCTGCCTCAGTCCACCCACTCGGAGTTGAGAACTGCATGGCCTCCAGTCGCTGTTTCTAGTAACAAGTGATGGGGTTAGGAAGAAAACCGAGGAGTGGGAACTGACTGAGTCCGTGCGTTTTTTTTTTTTAACGTTTTTTAGCTGTTAGATTATGAAAGAAGTTTGTTTTAACGTTCTTGACCCTTTCACAGAACGTTATGGAGTAATGGCCTGATCTACTATTTAAATCTAAAAAAACTTTCAGTGGCCATTTCCTCAAGAGCCATTTGAGATGTAGAAAACTTGTTCATTGATACTGAAACTTATGACTTATGAGACCCCTTTTCGAGAATTCATGAAATTAAAAACCTATATATTCGACAAGATGACACTTTGACTTTTTTTTTTTAACCAAATTTGTTTTTAAGGGTTTTTTTTTTTTAAAGGGTTATGTAGATTTTTAAACCATTAACTTATTGATTTAGTCTATGAAATGGAAATGTTGGTGATTTCTAATTTATTACCTAAAATAACAGCATTTTCACGCATTCATTATCTTACGTCTTAAAAATAACATGAACTAAATGAAGATTAATGTCATCTTGAAAGTAAAATCGTACAAATTGCACTCAGCTTTTAACGTGTGCAACCCGGTAACCGGATGATAATATGTTAATTGCGTGGAGACTTTTTGTCAAATACATATGATGTTGAGTAAGAATGAGGTTGTCCAGTTTCTGTTAAAGTTGTGGTTTCTGCAGTACTAGTCCCTTTTTGATTGTATTGGTTACTTGATTATTCCTATTTTTATGCGAACGATTCCACCAGATACAATCGAATAGTGTATGGTTTCTTATATTGTGGTAGAATGATCAACTGAAGACTTTTTACACCTAATGTAACTTTGTCATTGCATTACTGTAGACCTGATATATTTGAGTCGTTTCTAGATAGATAGACGGTATAACTATAATGAGGTTCTTCTGCGTGTTGATCTGTTTGGTGGTAGTTTCTTTGGTGAAGATGTATAGAGAAAGGAATAAGTGGATGAGTTTGTCATGGAAATTACTGATGGTGAGTGTTTACCTGACAACTGCCCCGAATTTTTGGCCAAACGTTTTCACCAAGTGTTGTTTCGATTCATTTGTTACACTCCATGTACTTCAGTTTCAATCATGAATAAATATCGAAAAATTTTTTAAGGATCTTTCATTAATTGGGCTTCTTTTAATTGTATCTGTCATTGCGGGTATATTTTATCCCGGAATGAGATTTCAAGAGATTTTCCAGATCCCCCCCCCCCCCCCCCCCCCACCCTTTGTATGATTATTCAGTATAATTCACCAACAATTTCTCACGTTTCATCACGGTCGACCCTGGGAAGATATAATTATAGGTTATTTATAGATTAAAATTTAAATTATAGGTAATCAATTAAGCGCAACCATCATGATATTTATCCACAGGTCTTGAGTTTATAGAGGAAGAGTTTATAGAGCCTATGGCGGAGTCAGATATTTCTGATAGCGACGATATCGGATCTCTAGAGGTACGTTCTGATAATGAAGCCGAAAGTGAAAGTGAAAGCGAAAGCGAAACAAACACTAGAAGGGCAATTTTCTTTCCAAGCGGAATCACTCAATTCTTACACAAACACTTACCGGGATAGCATCAGTTGCTGTTTTGAGATTTAACAAGGTGTTGAACGTATTTACTTAGTCTTAGGATCATTGTTATGTAGTTCGCAGCACGCACGAGTGATAACTTTTATCGTTCGGTAAACCGAGAGATATTAATTTCACATCGCTCTTGCGGGTCTATGAGCGAGCATTATCGAAGATCGCTGCATCAGGCTAGGTAGTTAACCGTTATATTTAAAGTTTGTCATTTATCATCATCATCATCATTGCTCTAAAATGTTATATTCTAATTATTCCATTTATATTAGTATAGAGGTATATTTTTCTCCTTCAAATCATTTGAAGTTCAAATGTAACTTTGTTAATTCCGTAAGCTTAACTGAAAATTCTTGTAGTTCAAATTATCTCCTCTTCAAAAAATATGAAACATCGATGTTCAGTTTGCCAATATATAACCTCCATATCACATATGTACATAATTAGATCAATCTGTTAATAATGTAAGTTCTCACCTGCGTAGGAGCCCGTAGAGTTACTCTCAGAACGGGAAATAAAGGAACTCGAGAAGGATCTAGCGGACATTGACGTCCACCCCTAAATACGAACCTTCTATACTCGGAGGCAGCACTTGCGGGAAATGCTGAGACTGAGAGAAGATACTGATACTGATATAATCATTATTAGAACTGGAAGTTGAACTTCCTCATTTGTGGATCTCATTTGGTTCGATTGTCGATGATACCTATTTTACAGTGCTTTGAAGTTTGATAAGAATTAAGAACTATTGGAAAGACGATGTCCTGTTTATCGGACATTGTCCAGTTTTATCCGTCACTAATCTCTGGTATTGATGGGATTATGTGTTATCACACTGTGCTATATTCAACAAAATTAAGTGAATAATTGTTGTGTTTTATTTATCAGACCCATCAGTATCTTCAATCACCACTAGTATTTAACCATTAACGACTTTATGGTTGTACTAATTTTGATGTAAATTCTAACAGTTGATATTCCCAAGAAGGACACTGTGAAATGTATTTTAACATCAGCGACAGCTAGATATGTAGCCATGAAGCCATCAATTAGTTGCCATACACTCATGCTCATTAAACAAATCAAGAGTTCAAATTCTAAAAGAAGACTGGTGAAATCTACAGTTAATTGCTACCTTCTCGGTCTTTGTATTTTAAATTCAGAAAATTTTTGTGAAAGATTTCAACAAATAAAACCAGGATTTCAATTGATTTTCATAATACTATTTTAAATCAAACGAACTGTGCCCAAACTCAATAGAGCAAGTTTAAGCTAAAAAAAGCAGAGTTCTCAAGTTGACCGAGCCAGTACTTGCAGCATGTACTCCTAAACTTAAAGTTCCTCCCAGTCCTACTTCTACTCTGTTGTAAGCAGCTCGACCGGCTCTGTCTCGTTGTCGTGACGATCAGATGACATACCGTCTACTGCAGCTAGTTGCCATGGTGACAGAGCATGGTATAGTTCCCGGGACTCTCTTAACGCCAGATGGCACCTGAGGATAAAGTACTGTAATTCTGGAACTGCTTTCACTAATTAAACTGTGGTGTACCAGCTGCAGTTGTAATGGTCATTAGTGTGGGTATCAGATCGGGCGTGTACAAGAGTTCTTACGAAATTGACAGTTTGATCTACTTTAAGTCAGTTGTGAAAGTGAGGGTGAATTGAACGTGAATTTACTTGCACTGCAGACTACTGCACGCAAGTGACAAGGTTTACACTATGCCAGATCCTGAGTGATATTACATTTTGAATTATTTGCCACAGTAGGCACATGGGTATGTAAATACAATATCAAATGAAATATTGCACCGCCGAATATGCTAATAATGTAATATGGAATATTACATTATTAGCATATTCAATTTTCCTAGTATTATAATGTCTTTAAGTTTAACCACTGCGAATGGGCTATATTTACTAATTACATCGAAATTTCTGTGAATTGTCATTGAAGCTGTCAGTTTACAACCCGATCACCCTAGACCCTGTTAAATGGAGTTATATAGCTCGAGGAGCAATAATTGTTCGTGTCAATCGCATGAATATTGACAATGACTGGGGTGAGGTGAATAGATTCTATTAGTATTGTTATTACAGAATACCCAGTTACAAAACTAAAAGATGCTGTGCAACTTAGACTTAAGAAGTTAATTGCTAAACCTGGTTACACTTGCACTCATCCAAGTAATATTTAGGATGTATGCACTATTGCACTGTGCACTGAGTGCATTTCACTCGTGCAAAGCATATACAGGATTAGGTATTTCATATAGGATAAGGTATAATCATTGATTATAGAAGTAGTTTTCGAAGTTAAATTATTTAATGCTATGTGATACGGTGACACGTGTGAACTGTGAAGTGTTAATAAGTGCTGTCACTACTGACCTTCTTCAGCGTTGTGTTCGCTAACAATATCGGACTCGGCTACATCCAAATCTTCCGTGTTGTAGGCTGCAGACTCTAGACCACCTTCTGACATCTCTGCTGCGTTATAGGGTACTGCTAAGCAGTTGGTTAACCTGGGAAGTGAGAAACATATGTTATTTTGTCAGCTATGGACGAGCACCCTTTTTGTTATTTTTGAGCTGAAGCGTGAACTGATGTTGTTTAGTATTCGAATATTAGTGTACTGCATCAACACTGGTAAGTATTGTTATTTAAATTCCAGTTATTTTATGCAATGTGTGCCATTGCAGGGTATAAATAAAGTTGAAATCAAATCATAGGATTTAGGTTTTTGATCGCGGTCAAGATAATCCCTGGCCTATAACTTAAGGTAATTAACATTCAATTGGTTTTCTGAATAAATTGTTAACTTGAGTCTCAAAAGAATTATTGATGGATGTAGCAGATAATAATATTAAAACAGATATAAAAATCGAGTCTGGTAGTTACTTACAGAAGGGTAGAAATGAGCAAAAGAGCGAACATGGTGGTGTGGAATAAAAAGCTGAAAGATCTTCTTTGGAGTGATGATGGGTAAAAAACTTAGTCTGATTTAACCGTAGAAAGCAGCTTATTTATACCGCAGCCAGGATTTGCGTGAGCGCGCGCGTGAGTCACGTGACTCACCGCACGTGTGGTCACGTGACAGTTTTAACAGCGGCCCTGGATAATGAGATAGCTCCCATTCAAATGAGGCACGGTTGATGGTAATGACCAGCGATAATCAGACTCGTGCACACCTACAAAACCGGCTCTAATCGGTGACGACCTTTCAGCACTAACAAGTCTCACTAACGTTCGCGATTTAGAAATCCGAATTACCGGAGAAATCTGGCAGTTTGAGATGAAAGGGCGTATAGGAGTTATTACTTGGTAAGACATGAAGAACAGATGGTACTTCTAAAACATTTTAATGTGGTACTTTAACTTTAAACATAGTGCCGTGGTCTAATTCTGTTGAAATTTCGCACATGCCATGAAGAAAACCTTTGGATGAGATTCAGTTACAACTTACAGAAATAAATGTTTAAATAAAATGAACTATCCTATTATATATATATGGGGCGTCATTTCGACAGACTCAACTTACTCGTCAATGGCTATTACAGGTATGCTACCGTCGAAATGTAGTTGAACTTTGAAACTGGAAATGTAGTAGATTGTAGAATACGAATTTCATTTTTCAACTGAATATAATCAGTTTAAAAGTTAGCGATACCTTGATCAGAGCTTCGGCTATAACGATCCCCTAGTGCAGTGGAGCAACCTGAATGTGTACTAATAACGGCATGAAGTGTGGCAGAACACGAGAATTTAGGTTCGACCACAATTGTTCGTGACCAAGTGTTGTTATACTGGTACAGGTAGTACTAAAAGTAAAACCACCCATCAGTTAAAATAATGTTATATCGCTAATGTTTGATATAATTATTTGAGAATATGTCTCACCCTGTAAAGTTAGATTAAAACGATCAGAGTTGAGCTGATCCCTTCAAAGTAGGTTTACAGCAGAAACACGACGATTGCTGCTCTGATTAAGATTTCGCAACCAGTTAATATGTTCAAAGATTACATTGCTATTACTATACTGAACCCTTTACATTTTAGCTTATTTTAGCTGTATTCTGTAAGCGTAGGAGCAAAACCAATCAGTTCTCTATGAAGATTGGATAACGACTAATTGAGCCCTTTGTGCTGTGAAATATGAAGAACAATAATGAAACATGAGGGGCCTGATTGATTGAGCAATAATGAATATTGGACGTAAAGGGCTGCTTCCTTTAATCAGGTTATAAAGTCTTTTTTAATGAATATTGAACCTGCGCCTGATAAGTTGCACAGGCTTTCTGTTTTACTTTAAGAGCCCACATTGGTCCATTTTATTATTGTCATTATTATATAACTGTTAGTTTTACTATTGCTATTACTATTAGCCCGGCCCTTGAATGGGTATCAAAAGTTTAACTTTAAGGAGAAGTGAAGATAGCAGAACAAAGAGTTTTTACAAATCCGGACGAAAAATTGAATTTGATATAAAAAGATTTAGAATAATATTAATATAAAACCTGCTCATTTGAAGTTGAGGATATCGATTATTGGTTCACACAAAAAAAACATTTTCGACATTAGTGGCATGATTTTGGCATCTATTAGCCGAGCATGTTCAGAAGTTCTGAAGTTCTGAACATTAGCCACGTGACCCATACTCTCATATATGTTAATGAACTGGCCAGAAAAATGTTTGTTGTTACTATTATATAGCTGCACATGACAGTGCCCAATTAGTATTCCTTGGTCTAAAATGTAGTAGATTAGGTCAATCTAACATTAACAATCATAAACATTGTCATCTTTTCTACTATGAATATGCGGTCCGCCAAGAACCTTTACACTCATTATATGATGGTTCTTCTATAATCTATACCGATCATAATTCAAAGCCCTAAATTGTGTTTTTAAATACAAATTTATGCATTCACTTCACACTTGGTTGTTGGTTATCGGGAATTGAGGTTAGTTCTGCCACATTATGTGGCATTTTGGGTAAATACAAGATACAAGGCCAGGTCTCTCCCGAACGTTGGGATGGCCTGAGGTGCTTATCTCCTTTTCAGTAACCCTAAGCCACTCTGTGCCGAGGCACTATACTAGCTGTATGGGGGTTAGTCCTACGAGCCAGAGAGTGTGTATCACCAGCCGAAGCTGTACCAAATCACAGCTTGGTAACTGGCCGACTTGCATCCGACCGGATTTGAACCCAGGTCTTCTGCTTGGGAGGCGATCGTGTTACCACTACACCACCCGGGTAAATATCCAAAATAATTTATATCCGACTTGGGTTTAAAAGGCTAGTAAACTCTATTTAAGGACGATACGGATGATTAAAGTTAAGGATAGTTGATGTTAACATTATCAGAAAAATGATACGAAATCGTAAATAGGTTAAATTTCGAAACAATTATTATATAATGAAATAGTTTGTGATAATAACCCGCATTGCATTAAGAACTGTTGATTTGAAATTTAGAATTATCTGAATTTTTAAAATGACTTATGTAACAAAATTAAAATTTTTCCAGAGAGGAGTTACAATTTTGTTTGTGATGAAATTAACTTATTTTACCATGTTGAGATGTTATAATTGTGCCAATGTTAACATATTCCTTGGCCGAGGGTTTCCTAAACATCCCGCATATATATGTTTCTTAAATGTGTGACAGAATTTACCTGGTGGTACCATTTAACGAAAAAATGCGTTAAACATGTAGATAATAATAATCATGTGGAACTATCCCATCAACTGAACATTCGAAAATTTGGTCAACCACGGCAGCAAGGGGCATATATTAACTCTGTCACATTTTATATAGTGTGGACAAAGTTCACATCTCACTGCCGGCACAATTTAATGTTTAAGCGATATCATATCATCTGATAAAGATATCTTTATGTGACAAATTTTATTTAGAAGATGAGATGAATTGATTATTCTAACTATTGAGGGTTTTAATATATTTTCATAGCGTGACAACGTATACCTTATCGTACCATTTAAAAGGATTGCTAATATTGTACCAATATCCTCAACTTCAAATGGACATGTCCATATAAACTTTTTTGATGATTTCCCGTAGCTGTTAAAATACGGGAAACCAGCACGTAGCTTTATTGCCGTCAGCACTCTGCAAATCATTTTATAGAATTAAACCTGGACAGAATACCGCAACTGTTTGATATGACCACCGCCCGGGCCATATCGCTACTGGTCGAGTTTAATATCTAGTATGTGATTGTGCTCGCGGGCTGTATTTCCAGCGGGTAACACTAACATGATTATGAGCACGGGCCTTTTCAGACCGAGCTGGTGAGCTGCGCCCGCTGTACAAAAAGTGCACGCTGGTGGAAATACTTATAGTATTAGCATATACTGGCCACTGGGCAGCGGACACAGTTATAATTTCTATATAATTTCATTATAATCCCATTATATCAGCGGTTATGTCCCAAGCGTGCTAAATCACGCTACACTGGAATATCGCAATTTAAAAAAACAATTCTCTTTATAAAACGGTATGGTATTTGCAACATGCAAGGCTCGTTCAGACCAATTTCAAATTTGTTGGTTCCCTCGATGCTCGAGAGTCGAGGTATATTAGTAATACCTAGAGAGAACAAACAAATTGGTCTGACCGTGTCCGTAAGCCTTGCAAATACCTGGACATGATTGTTGAATATTCATGATATATGTTATTATTAATATAGAGCCAAACGGAATAATTCAGTGAACTGGAACATCATGTTACTGATAGTGCATGGAATGAAGTCTGCCTTTATTGTTGATATCAAGGCAGACTTCATCAAGGTAGAGTGTAGACTTCATTCATTTTAAGGTAGAGCTTAATTATATCTACGCCAAGCATGAGGATCGACAGCTGGCAAAGTAGGAGTATGGATGAAAGATCGTACTGCTGAGTGTTATTTGTTATTGTTATATCCTCGTTAATACCTGATTCGATTGAGTATGACAGTGCAAACCTGACACTGACAGTGACAGTATTCCCTTGAAGTTTACTGGGCGGCGCTCAGCGGCAGCCTGTCACTCCGCCATATATTATGTTTATGAACATTAAGCATGGGTCCCCAGGTAACTTGAAGTCAGCATGTAATGAGTGATGAGAAATAATAGTAAACGAAATACCTGTTAAGAAATTATATCATGCGACTAGACTTAGAGTGCGGCAGCTTTTCCGAAATTGTGCGACTAAACTATTGGATTTGGACGGTGATGAGCAAAGGACGATTTATATGTTTGATACGAAATTAATATTCATTGCATCTCGGACTCGGAGTTCTAGTTAATTTGAGTCTTCATGGTCGTTTATATCATTTTATCTTCATATCACATTTCTTGTCAGTGGTAATATAACTGCGTTTTTTTCAGTATGTAAAAAACAAACACATGTTTCATTTTCAATGAACTTGAAGTCTCCAATTTAATTTACATATGATTAACATGTAAAATATAATTTACACGAATGTCTGTTAAGTCGCCTCATCAGTGGAAACAGGAAAAGATAATGGAATTTATTTATTACAAAATTTACAAGCTTCAAGCAGATCAGATGGCCAGTTATGAATTTTTTATTTTGATACTTGAACTTTAATTATATTACATATTACATATTAGCAGCTTTGTTTTTAGTTAGAAAATAACGGGGTTTTACAAGCGCTGCTCCCTATAATATTATTATACTAGTCAGTACATCCTCTGATACGATAGACGGTATAACTATAATGAGGTTCTTCTGCGTGTTGATCTGTTTGGCGGTAGTTTCGTTTGGGGAAGATGTAGAGAAGGAAAAAGAGGATGAGTTTGTCATGGAAATTCCTGATGGTGAGTGTCACCTGTCACAACTGCTCCAAATTTATGGCCAAACTTTTTCACCAAGTGTTGTTTCGATCATGTTACACTCCAAATTACTTCAATTTCAACACGAATAAATATCGAAATTTTTAAGGATCTTTCATAATTGGGCTTCTTTTAATTGTATCTGTCATTGCGGCGTATATTTTATCCCAGAATAAGATAGCTATACAAGAGATATTCCAGCTCCCCCCCCCCCCCCCCCCCCCCCCCTATGTATGATTATCAGTATAATCACCAAAAATTTCTCACGGTTTCTTTCACGGTCACCCTGGGAAGATATAATTATGGGTAATTATAGATATAATTATAGGTAATCAATTAAGCGCAACCATCATGATATTTATCCACAGGTCTTGAGTTTATAGAGGAAGAGTTTATAGAGCCTATGGCGGAGTCAGATATTTCTGATAGCGACGATATCGGATCTCTAGAGGTACGTTCTGATAATGAAGCCGAAAGTGAAAGTGAAAGCGAAAGCGAAACAAACACTAGAAGGGCAATTTTCTTTCCAAGCGGAATCACTCAATTCTTACACAAACACTTACCGGGATAGCATCAGTTGCTGTTTTGAGATTTAACAAGGTGTTGAACGTATTTACTTAGTCTTAGGCTCATTGTTATGTAGTTCGCAGCACGCACGAGTGATAACTTTTATCGTTCGGTAAACCGAGAGATATTAATTTCACATCGCTCTTGCGGGTCTATGAGCGAGCATTATCGAAGATCGCTGCATCAGGCTAGGTAGTTAATTAAGTATTAACTGTTATATTTAAAGTTTGTCATTCATCATCATCATTGCTCTAAAATGTTGTATTCTAATTATTCCATTTAGTATAGGGCCTATTTTTCTCCTTCAAATCATTTGAAGTTCAAATGTAACTTTGTTAATTCCGTTAAAGCTTAACTGGAAATTCTTTTAGTTCAAACTATCTCTTCTTCAAAAAAATGGAACATCGAGGTGCAGTTTGCCAATATATAACTTTCATATGTAAATAATTTAAATTAGATTACGCTGTTAATAATGTAAGTTCTCACCTGCGTAGGAGCCCGTAGAGTTACTCTCAGAACGGGAAATAACGGAACTCGAGAAGGATCTAGCGGACATTGACGTCCACCCCTAAATACGAACCTCCTATACTCGGAGCCAGCGGGAAATGATGAGACTGAGAGAAGATACTGATACTAATATAATCATTATTAGAACTGGAAGTTGAACTCCCTCATTTGCGGATCTCATTTGGTTCGATTGTCAATGATACCTGTTTTACAGTGCTTTGAAGTTTGATAAGAATTAAGAACTATTGGAAAAACGATGTCCTGTTTATCGGACATTGTCCGGTTTTATCCGTCACTAATCTCTGGTATTGATGAATGATGGGATTATGTGTTATCACACTGTGCTATTGTCAACAAAATTAAGTGAACAATTGTTGTGTTTTATTTATCAGACCCATCAGTATCTTCAATCACCACTAGTATTTAACCATTAACGACTTTATGATTGTACTAATTTTGATGTAAATTCTAACAGTTGATATACCCAAGGAGGACGCTGTGAAATGTATTATAACATCAGCGACAGCTAGATATGTACTCAATGTAGCCATGAAGCCATCAATTAGTTGCCATACACTCATGCTCATTAAAATATCAAGGGTTCAAATTCTAAAAGAAGACCGGTGAAATCTACAGTTAATTGCTACCTTCTCGGTCTTTGTATTTTAAATTCAGAAAATTTTTGTAAAAGATTTCAACAAATAAAACTAGGATTTCAATTGATTTTCATAATACTATTTTAAATCAAACGAACTGTGCCCAAACTCAATAGAGCAAGTTTAAGCTAAAAAAGCAGAGTTCTCAAGTTGACCGAGCCAGTACTTGCAGCATGTACTCCTAAACTTAAAGTTCCTCCCAGTCCTACTTCTACTCTGTTGTAAGCAGCTCGACCGGCTCTGTCTCGTTGTCGTGACGATCAGATGACATACCGTCTACTGCAGCTAGTTGCCATGGTGACAGAGCATGGTATAGTTCCCGGGACTCTCCTAACGCCAGATGGCACCTAAGGATAAAGTACTGTAATTCTGGAACTGCTTTCACTAATTTAACTGTGGTGTACCAGCTGCAGTTGTAATGGTCATTAGTGTGGGTATCAGATCGGGCGTGTACAAGAGTTCTTACGAAATTGACAGTTTGATCTACTTTTTAAGTCAGTTGTGAAAGTGAGGGTGAATTGAACGTGAATTTACTTGCACTGCAGACTACTGCACGCAAGTGACAAGGTTTACACTATGCCAGATCCTGAGTGATATTACATTTTGAATTATTTGCCACAGTAGGCACATGGGTATGTAAATACAATATCAAATGAAATATTTCACCGCCGAATATGCTAATAATGTAATATGGAATATTACATTATTAGCATATTCAATTTTCCTAGTATTATAATGTCTTTAAGTTTAACCACTGCGAATGGGCTATATTTACTAATTACATCGAAATTTCTGTGAATTGTCATTATAGCTGTCAGTTTACAACCCGATCACCCTAGACCCTGTTTAATGGAGTTATATAGCTCGAGGAGCAATAATTGTTCGTGTCAATTGCATGAATATTGACAATGACTGGGGTGAGGTGAATAGATTCTATTAGTATTGTTATTACAGAATACCCAGTTACAAAACTAAAAGATGCAGTGCAACTTAGACTTAAGAAGTTAATTGCTAAACCTGGTTACACTTGCACTCATCCAAGTAATATTTAGGATGTATGCACTATTGCACTGTGCACTGAGTGCATTTCACTCGTGCATAGCATATACAGGATTAGGTATTTCATATAGGATAAGGTATAATCATTAATTATAGAAGTAGTTTTCGAAGTTAAATTATTTAATGCTATGTGATACGGTGACACGTCACACGTGTGAAGTGTTAAGTGCTGACACTACTGACCTTCTTCAGCGTTGTGTTCGCTAACAATATCGGACTCGGCTACATCCAAATCTTCCGTGTTGTAGGCTGCAGACTCTAGACCACCTTCTGACATCTCTGCTGCGTTATAGGGTACTGCTAAGCAGTTGGTTAACCTGGGAAGTGAGAAACATATGTTATTTTGTCAGCTATGGACGAGCACTCTTTTTTTTATTTTTGAGCTGAAGCGTGAACTGATGTTGTTTAGTATTCGAATATTAGTGTACTGCATCAACACTGGTAAGTATTGTTATTTGAATTCCAGTCATTTTATGGCAAAAATGTATGCAATGTTGAATGTGTGCCATTGCCGGGTATAAATAAAGTTGAAATCAAATCATTTTTCGCCAACTATAATAGGTATTAGGTCATCGTTTTTAAGAGATGAAAGTTAAATAGAATCGAACTTTAGATTTCGGATACATCCAAAGCAGCTTTATATGATGCAGATAGGCACAATATTGCTAACTAATAAGCCAAGGCTCCAGAATCTTGTTTGATAAACATGGTATTGATAATGATATCTAAAAACTGGGAACTAAAGCGTAGGATTTTAGGTTTTTGATCGGTCAAGATATGCCCTGGCCTATAACTTAAGGTAATTTACATTCAATTGGTTTTCTGAATAAATTGTTAACTTGAGTCTCAAAAGAAATTATTGATGGATGTAGCAGATAATAATATTAAAACAGATATAAAAATCGAGTCTGGTAGTTACTTACAGAAGGGTAGAAATGAGCAAAAGAGCGAACATGGTGGTGTGGAATAAAAAGCTGAAAGATCTTCTTTGGAGTGATGATGGGTAAAAAACTTTGTCTGATTTAACCGTAGAACGCAGCTTATTTATACCGCAGCCAGGATTTGCGTGAGCGCGCGCGTGAGTCACGTGACTCACCGCACGTGTGGTCACGTGACAGTTTTAACAGGGGCCCTGGATAATGAGATAGCTCCCATTCAAATGGGGCACGGTTGATGGTAATGACCAGCGATAATCAGACTCGTGCACACCTACAAAACCGGCTCTAATCGGTGACGACCTTTCAGCACTAACAAGTCTCACTAACGTTCGCGATTTAGAAATCCGAATTACCGGAGAAATCTGGCAGTTTGAGATGAAAGGGCGTATAGGAGTTATTACTTGGTAAGACATGAAGAACAGATGGTACTTCTAAAACATTTTAATGTGGTACTTTAACTTTAAACATAGTGCCGTGGTCTAATTCTGTTGAAATTTCGCACATGCCATGAAGAAAACCTTTGGATGAGGTTCAGTTACAACTTACAGAAATAAATGTTCAAATAAAATGAACTATCCTATTATATATATATATGGGGCTTCATTTCGACAGACTCAATTTACTCGTCAATGGCTATTATAACAGGTATGCTACCGTCGAAATGTAGTTGAACTTGAAACTGGAAATGTGGTAGATTGTAGAATACGAATTTCATTGTTCAACTGAATATAATCTAATATAATATAAAATTAAATGCAGTTTAAAAGTTATCGAGATCTTGATCAGAGCTTCGGCTATAACGATCCCCTAGTGCAGTGGAGCAACCTGAATGTGTACTAATAACGGCATGAAGTGTGGCAGAACACGAGAATTTAGGTTCAACCACAATTGTTCGTGACCAAGTGTTGTTATACTGGTACAGGTAGAACTAAAACCACCCATCAGTGAAAATAATGTTTTATCGCTAATGTTTGATATAATTATATGAGAATATGTCTCACCCTGTAAAGTTAGATTAAAACGATCAGAGTTGAGCTGATCCCTTCAAAGTAGGTTTACAGCAGAAACACGACGATTGCTGCTCTGATTAAGATTTCGCAACCAGTTAATATGTTCAAAGATTACATTGCTATTACTATACCGAACCCTTTACATTTTAGCTTATTTTAGCTGTATTCTGTAAGCGTAGGAGCAAAACCAATCAGTTCTCTATGAAGATTGGATAACGACTAATTGAGCCCTTTGTGCTGTGAAATATGAAGAACAATAATGAAACATGAGGGGCCTGATTGATTGAGCAATAATGAATATTGGACGTAAAGGGCTGCTTCCTTTAATCAGGTTATAAAGTCTTTTTTAATGAATATTGAACCTGCGCCTGATAAGTTGCACAGGCTTTTTGTTTTACTTTAAGAGCCCGCATTGGTCCATTTTATTATTGTCATTATTATATAACTGTTAGTTTTACTATTGCTATTAGCCCAGCCCTTGGATGGGTATCAAAAATTTAAGGAGAAGTGAAGATAGCAGAACAAAGAGTTTTTACAAATCCGGACGAAAAATTGAATTTGATATAAAAAGATTTAGAATAATATAAAACCTGCTCATTTGAAGTTGAGGATATCGATTATTGGTTCAGACAAAAAAAAACATTTTCGACATTAGTGGCATGATTTTGGCATCTATTAGCCGAGCATGTTCAGAAGTTCTGAACATTAGCCACGTGACCCATACTCTCATATATATGTTAATGTACTGGCCAGAAAAATGTTTGTTGTTACTATAGCTGCCCAGTGCCCTATTAGTATTCCTTGGTCTGAAATGTAGTAGATTAGGTAAATCTAACAGTAACATTGTTACCGCATATTTATAGTAGAAAAGAGGACAAAGTTTATGATTGTTACTAACAATCATAAACTTTGTCCTCTTTTCTACTATGAATATGCGGTCCGTCAAGAACCTTTACACTCATTATATGATGGTTCTTCTATACCGATCATAATTCAAAGCCCTAAATTGTGTTTTTAAATACAAATTTATGCATTCACTCCACACTTGGTTGTTGGTTATTGGGAATTGAGGTTAGTTCTGCCACATTATGTGGCATTTTTGGTAAATAGCCAAAATAATTTATATCCGAGTTCGGTTTAAAAGGCTAGTAAACTCTATTTAAGGACGATACAGATGATTAAAGTTAAGGACAGCTGATGTTAACATTATCAGAAAAATGATACGAAATCGTAAATAGGTTAAATTTCGAAACAATTATTATAGAATGAAATAGTTTGTGATAACAACCCGCATTGCATTAAGAACTGTTGATTTGAACTTTAGAATTATCCGAATTTTTTAAATGACTTATGTAACAAAATTAACATTTTTCAAAAAGGAGCAAATGGAGTTACAATTTTGTTTGTGACGAAATTAACATATATTACCATGTTGAGATGTTATAATTGTGCCAATGTTAACATATTCCTTGTCAGGGTTTCCTAAACATCCCGCATATATATATTTCTTAAATGTGTGACGGAATTTACCTGGTGGTACCATTTAACGAAAAAAAATGCTTTAAACATGTAAATAATAATAATCATGTGGAACTATCCCATCAACTGAACATTCGAAAATTTGGCCAACCATGACGGCAGCAAGGGGCATATATTAACTCTGTCACATTTTAATAGTGTGGACAAAGTTCACATCTCACTGCCGGCACAATTTAATGTTTAAGCGATATCATATCATCTGATAAAGATATCTTTATGTGACAAATTTTACCTAGAAGATGAGATGAATTGATCATTCTAACTATTGAGGGTTTTAATATATTTTCATAGCGTGACAACGTATACCTTATCGTACCATTTAAAAGGGTTGCTAATATTGTATCAATATCCTCAACTTCAAATGAACATGTCCATATAAACTTTTTTGCTGATTTCCAGTAGCTGTTAAAATACGGGAAACCAGCTCACGTAGCTGTATTGCCGTCAGCACTCTGCAAATCATTTTATAGAATTAAACCTGGACAGAATACCGCAACTGTTTGATATGACCACCGCCCGGGCCATATCGCTACTGGTCGAGTTTAATATAGTATGTGATTGTGCTCGCGGGCTGTATTTCCAGCGGGTAACACTAACATGATTATGAGCACGGGCCTTTTCAGACCGAGCTGGTGAGCTGCGCCCGCTGTACAAAAAGTGCACGCTGGTGGAAATACTTATAGTATTAGCATATACTGGCCACTGGGCAGCGGACACAGTTATAATTTCTATATAATTTCATTATAATCCCATTATATCAGCGGTTATGTACCAAGCGTGCTAAATCACGCTACACTGGAATATCGCAATTTAAAAAACAATTCTCTTTATAAAACGGTATGGTATTTGCAACATGCAAGGCTCGTTCAGACCAATTTCAAATTTGTTGGTTCCCTCGATGCTCGAGAGTCGAGGTATATTAGTAATACCTAGAGAGAACAAACAAATTGGTCTGACCGTGTCCGTAAGCCTTGCAAATACCTGGACATGATTGTTGAATATTCATGATATATGTTATTATTAATATAGAGCCAAACGGAATAATTCAGTGAACTGGAACATCATGTTACTGATAGTGCATGGAATGAAGTCTGCCTTGATTGTTGATATCAACAATCAAGGCAGACTTCATCAAGGCAAACTTAGACTTCATCAAGGCAGACTTCATTCTGCAGCTTAATTATATCTACGCCAAGCATGAGGATCGACAGGGCAAAGTTTAAGTAGGAGTATGGATGAAAGATCGTACTGCTGAGTGTTATTTGTTATTGTTATATCCTCGTTAATACCTGATTCGATTGAGTATGACAGTGCAAACCTGACACTGACAGTGACAGTATTCCCTTGAAGTTTACTGGGCGGCGCTCAGCCTGTCACTCCGCCATATATTATGTTTATGAACATTAATGATTAAGCATGGGTCCCCAGGTAACTTGAAGTCAGCATGAGTGATGAGAAATAATAGTAAACGAAATACCTGTTAAGAAATTATATCATGCGACTAGACTTAGAGTGCGGCAGCTTTTCCGAAATTGTGCGACTAAACTATTGAATTTGGACGGTGATGAGCAAAGGACGATTTTCACTTATATGTTTGATACGAAATTAATATTCATCGCATCTCGGAGTTCTAGTTCATTTGAGTCTTCATGGTCGTTTATATAATTTTATCTTCATATCACATTTCTTGTCAGTCAGTGGTAATATAACTGCGTTTTTTCAGTATGTAAAAAACAAACACATGTTTCATTTTCAATGAACTCGAAGTCTCCAATTTAATTTACATATGATTAACATGTAAAATATTTAATTTACACAAATGTCTGTTAAGTCGCGACGTCGCGTCATCAGTGGAAACAGGAAAAGATAATGGAATTTATTTATTACAAAATTTACAAGCTTCAAGCAGATCAGATGGCCAGTTGTGAATTTTTTATTTTGATACTTGAACTTTAATTATATTACATATCATATTAGCAGCTTTGTTCTTTTAGTTAGAAAATAACGGGGGTTTTCAGCGCTGCTCCCTATAATATTATATACTAGGTCAGTACATACTCTGATACGGCGCACAAGTACTACTAGTAGTAGTATATTATAGCTGCTAAACATTTATCTGTGCTAAGGATCAGATTAGTAGAATAACCTAAGTCAACTATTAGCAGTGCAAGAAACAACAATTAACTGAATTAATTCTGTTTTTGTTAACTGTTCTATTTATTTGCCTCTTTAAATCGTGGAACATCTACTATGGTTCATGGTCGTCATACAGCTGAAACATAAAATACGAATGGACCGAATAATTGAGGTTTTAAAATGGCATGATTTTCAAAATCCTTTGCATTAACTCCTGCTGACGAAGGATTCGACACTTGACCATTTAACCCTACAGTTGACCCTACAGTTGACCCTACAGTTGACCAAATTACGAGGCCCATTTTAGTGGCACCAAAAGGATCCATATTTCTTATGTTTGTTTCAAGCTTTTCAAGTTTATTAAACAAAGATAAATTCAAGTATCAATCAAAAGTATTTGGCTCATCGATCTGACTGAACTTCATGCCGGCGCTTAAAGTTAAATAACAACATGATCGCAATTTTATATAAACTCATATAATTTGTAAAATAATCCAAATTAATTAATTTCCACGGGGCACTTTCAAAAACTATGTTAACGAATCTGTCACGGGAAAAATTTCAACTTCTAGAAGCTCTCATTTGGTGGATAAACTCAATATTTTGATTAAACTTTTTTTCAGCAGAGGATTTGCGATAGTTCAACTTTTACAAAAAGAATAAAATGTCTACTATGTCTATGAGCAGAGATACACGCATTTAAATCAGGGCTAATAATGGTGGATATACTTTTCAGAGGGGTTTGGTGGATATATCATTTGTTGGCCTGTAACTTTACGTGTGGTTAATTTATGGTGATTATTTAAAGATAGAATTGTAGCAAATCGATATGCCTCTATGATAAAAGGCGAAAATAAAGAAAGATTTCAATTTTAAGGCTAGATATGGTGGATAATAAAACGATGAAATAAAATTCAATACCGAAAATTTTCAACTGAAAAAATTATATTGGTCAACAAGTTCACCAGCTTTACTCAGTGAACGGATCAGGTTGGAAATCGTTTCAAGTTTATGATAGCATAAAAGATTTAATTTTTAGGCCATTTTTGGTGGATATATTGGAGCTTCATGATTGATTTAATTTTAAGTCAATTTCTGAGTCAATAATTCAGGTTATCCATTGTTAGACCCCAATTATCTCGTCTAGAAGCTGAAAATGTATACAATTATTGCTCTAAGTCTAGGGCCATAATGAATGGATATAGTTTCATACGAACTTAACAAACTGTTTCCTTTCAGCCTTTAGAGCTGTTTTTGGTGGATAAAAGTACTAAAACGGGAAAATTTGCTTTTGTATCCACTATTTTTGGCCCTAGATGTGTTCTATCATGAAACTACAACTGTTTCTAGTATATATAGAAAATCCCCTTTGCTGAGTCAGTTCAAAAGAATTTTCAGTCCAAGACGACTTTTAAGGTTAAAATTGGTGGATAATAAATGTGAATAACCTACCTCAGTGATTGAAATAACGATTTCTTGACTGATAACGTATGTGATTCACTTTCAACGCCCAATAATTATATCTTAAGGTCGAAAGAGCTGAAAATCATTGCTCTGAGGTCGAAAAGAAGGGCTATAGTTTCAAGTAAACGTTCCAAACATTCTCCATTTAGGGCCGTTTTTGGTGGATAAATGCATAAGAAATTAGCTTAAAAACGGTTAAATTTGCTTTTTTATCCACTATTTCTGGCCTTAGATTTGCTCGATTATGAAATCATACACTGATATTGGTTTGTTTAGACCTTTTTCTTGTTCAGCACAAAATGTGATAAGCTCAAGCCGACTTTTAAGGCCAAAATTGATGGATATCAAAATATCCAGGTCGATATTTTAAGTATTTTTGAGTTAATTATCCACCAAATTGGCCCTGAATGCTTAAAATGCCATAGCACCTTATGCATAAATGTTCAACATCTTATATTTCATCTTTTTCAACTGTTTCTAATCATGATGATGTCTTATTTATTGATATTTTGGTAACATTTACGTGTTTAACTAATTAATATTGACTTATATCCACCAAAAATAGCCTTTTAACTTGAATCTTGGTCTTCATAGTTGATGCCATAGATTTAACATTGCCTTTGCATCATTTTAAGACCAGTAAATTGATGTTAGCTAACAAATAACAGTCTTAAAAAAGAGGTTAAAAAATATATCCACCAAATTTGGCCCTTAAGAAAAATCCCGGCCCTACTTATAAAATTATGAAGTTATAACGATTATTGTTAAGTCTCAATCATATTTTAGGAGTTTAGATGGAATTAAATATTTTTAAAGGCCACCTGAAGTGGATTGGTCTGTTTCACTTTTATCCACCAGATTTAGCCCTAAATCGAAACAAAAAGTGGCAGATAGTAAAGGTTAGGGTATAGCACACCATATCCTGGAGTTTCATCCCGTTCCAAAAATTATCCACCAAATTATGCCACAAAAACTGATTTTTGGCAAATTTTAACATTTTTTCCGGGACAGATGTTTTTGAAAGTGCCCCACGATAACAAAATAATTATATCACAAGAAAGTGAGTAAATCAGATCAGCTGGGTATATAAAACACTCAATATTACAATTTAGATTCTGTCGCATTTTATTTTGATATATAAAACGTAATATTGTTAACTGCTGCATTGTATTTTGAAAGCATGTTTTATTGAAAATCAAATTATATATGTGTTTTCGTATGAGCTTGGTAGATAACAAGAAATGTTGCTGTCACTGTCATGCAATTTAGCACTTTATTGAAAGATAGCATTTTTCATTTCACATTTATTTCTCGAGATTCTCACTTAAAATTTCTTTTAAAATATCGTTTGTACGTTGCTTATCTTTAAAATACCAGTGCAATCCCAACTTTGTAAAACCGTAACTGAAAAGATCGAATGGAAGTCCTCCTCAGGTTCTATGGTAGCACTGGTCCATTAAAGATCTAAAGAAAAGAAACTTGCAAGAAAGTTTATTAAAACGCTTCGTAATAGCCTAAAAATCTCTATAAATTGCAATAAAATCGGCAATAACAATATAATATGCTTCTTCAAATTGTCATTTAAACCCATCAGTACATCTTTCTGCGTATTTTTCAGAAAACTTGCACAGTAGAAACAATAAATGTCGGTATTCAATTCAAATTCAATTCATTCAAATTCAATGGTAAAAACGACAAGCAGATAATCATATGGATTTTTCGTTCTCTGTCAAGAAATAGCAGTCATTTCAGCAAGCACAAGTATCTGTATTATTTCGAGTTTGATGTCCTGGAGACATGGTTAGTGTTGGTCATCTGTGATGTCTGAGAAATCCGACCATCCCGCAGAAGGCTGAAATGTGAAGGAAGAACCTGTGCCGTATTCGGGCCGAGGGCTGGAGCTGATTGCATACCTGGTCGAAAGTTTCAGTTATGATTTTCATTTGTGAAACTGGGATTATAGACTACCTTAATTTCTGATAATTTACAGTAAATTGTATAATAGCATGGTTAACCAATTTGAATGCGATAGCAACGAAAAATGGGACATCATACTGACATTGCTACTATAAAATAACACGCCATAAATGATCTGCAAAACTCTGAACAACATTTAACAAATCTTAATATCAGAACAGTACCTCTTTCAAAACAGCGGTGGTGACTTTCTTGACCAAGCATAGAGCTGAAAGGACCGCAAAAGTCACATTGTATATGAAGATCACGTGGACATTCTTCAACCATTCCACAGTTCTGTAGTGGCCAAGCAGATCAAACCTCGTCAAACCTAGGAGTGTGAGGTGTTGTAGGTGTTATACTTTTAGTAGGGTTTTTGTGTTATTGATGAAAAAGTTCTTAATTTGATCTGCTCCTAACTGAATCCTACCAAGAATAGCGGAGAGGAGAGGGACAGAGCAGCTCATAACGAGAACTACAACACAGTTAACTATTATTGTTGTTACTGGTGTTTTCTTCTGACGAGGAATCAACCACCTGCAATTACACGCGATGAGGAGAATGTACATACTGAGTACTGACGATGAAGATTATTTTAATTTAAAATTAGAAAATACTCCACTCTTTGGAGGAAACTAGAACGTAGTCGTGAAAGTCTGGCAATATATTGTTGGGCATTGTTTCCAATACGGAGTATTGAACATCTAACTCTCACCTGAACTTTTCAGTCGTATAAAATCCGACCAGAGAAGCTACGAGAATGTAGCCGACAAGACCGATCTCAATCAGGGCACCTAGAGAGCCCATGTAAGAGTCGTACTTTGCGTCCAGGAATTCCTGAAGATATTGGAGCTGTTATTTCGGCAAATGTGTAGTTTTTCTTTTTTCAAGACCTTGATTAAGTTTTTATTAAGGTACCGAGTAAGAAAATGAATTTCGATAAACTTTTAAAAACTATCCCAACTTTAAACTGTGAGAGATAATTTCATGATATAAACCTTGTCGAATGACTCGTCAATTCCTGGAAGAGGTCCGTAACCAAGCAAAAGCTTTAGAATATTGAAAACCACCATAGAAATTGAGAGACCCTGGAATGGTATAAGATAAATAATTATGTATATATAATATACATATATATATATTATATACGATATATAGCAATTAGCATCATAATTGAGGATGATATCTGTAAATTAATATTCAATTTAGACTTAAAGTGGTAAGAACCGTAATTTTTAAACTAATTTAACGTAAGAAATTACGAAATAATTTCAGCAAGAAACTAACAGTGATGAAGAGGAGGAGTAGGAGTACACAAGGATACAAAGAGTTTCGTCTCCATGGTGACATCGCTTTACGCTTCTGTAAGTTTTCCAACGAATCTTCGATCTGGAGGACTCTATTGCGTCGTACTTTGAGCGTCTCCTCCGTCAATCCGTTCACCCGTAGGTTTCGCTCAATCCACTCCTTCTCGAGATCCAACATGTTTATTTGCTCATCAAGACTGGTCGATAACTGCAGGAGTAGAGTGTGATTTTAAGGACAAGATTTGTTGTATTGTTATATATTTATCATGTTATTGGAACCATCTTTTTAGATTCTAGGTGAACCACTACATACCGTTTTAGCAATATCATATGAATTATGAATATGATAAATGCAATTCTTGCAAATAAACGAGAGAAAAATTCGTCATTAACAATACCAAAAACAACATTCGATGAATCCATCTTTCAATGCCATATTTTGAGTTTTGAGTTTTGACGCTCCATAAACTTCATAAATTTAGATAAGAGACTACTAGATCTAAGAGACTACTATACATATTGAGACAATATTTGTATACTTTTTTGTTAATCGTGATATTTCGACGACTATTTACAGTTTTGGGAGTTTAGGTACTTTTCGAGTGGAACTGATATATTATGTACATTCATGATCTTCAATTAATTTGTGATTTATTCAACCTTGAATTCTCAGTTATTAACATGATCACATTTTTAAATACTCAAACCAACTCAAACCAGCTGGTTTCTCCGTTAAAATATTAGCAATGATCTAAAAAATACAGTATAATCGCAAGAATTAGATTAAAATAATTGCAGTGGAGCAATTATATCAGTTTCCAGACCCAGAGCAGCCAACAGCTGATTGCAAAAATGAATTAACTCATTAGTCATTAGCCGAAATATAATGTTATAATTTTGTAGTGTCGGTCTGGGCGCGACGATCTGCTGGCTGGGAAATCATTCTGACATTCTGGGCATAACGTTCTATGGGCATAACGTTCTATGTGTTGAAATGCTAATGAGTTCTAATGGACAACTCTTAGAGGAATACTCGAGGCAGTAGTCAGTACTATGGAGATAAAGACAGGAAATGTCATAAATTACGCAAATATTGCCAAGTTTAAAAGGTAAAAACCTGGGGTTTCATGACGATGGCTCCAATGACACTGAATATCCGGGCAAGTCCTAATGGTGTACACACGAGAAGCACAGCCACGCCCAAAAGTGACGTCATAGAGTACATGTAGCTGTACATGAACCAAGGGGACTTTACTATCTTCTCTGAAAAGATGAGAATGTTAAATAAGATAGCCTGCAAGATATTTAACGCAACATTTACAAATCACTCAAATTACAATTTCAAACAACTAGTCAGGTGCATAATAAAATAAACAATGATCAAAGAAAACAGTATGAATGAAATGTCTGCCAATATAAATTCATAATATACGTAAAAATAGAACTAACCCGAGAAGACAGTGCTGAGGACGAGAGTCAGGGTGAGAGGAGCCGTATCCGTGCCGATAAGTCGGGTTATGAGCAAGGAGCAACCTGCTGTTACCAGACTCAGTAAAACCAGCACTGTAAACGTCTCCTTGATCCGAGCCACGATTCCCTGAAGAGAGATTTGTTAGTACCAGTGCTAGTGCTCGGCTCAAATTCCTCTATATAGAGCTATTTTCTACTGCCCCCTTTAAATTTGGCACCGAACTTAATCAAAGTTATTCCGGTCCCCGTGACTTGAAAAGTTTCCAAATTTAGGTAATAAAATTATGGCTCACGTTCTAGATTATGGTAAACCTGATTTACCTCATGTTATATACGTGACTGATTTACCTGTACGTAACTGATTAACAGTATCATGAACTGTTTCACCATCCCGTGACTTCTTACGGACATAACAAGATATTTTCATGTAAATATAACTTTACGAGTGAACTTGTCCACCATACCGTCAAGTCTATACTAAATGTTTGTTTTTGTTCAATTGCTGATGCTATTGTTATATTGTTGCCAACACGCAAAAAAATTTGTAGAATGTTTTCTGAAGGAACAGTTCTTTGCCACAGCTGATATAATGATTTACTATCGAGATGGAATCATTTTATTAGCAGAATTAATAATTTCATCCATCTGCATCCGATAAGCAGTTGAGCAGTTCCTATGTTTAAGAACAAGAAAATCTAGCAAACACAATGATGATGTTAATTATATTTTGATAATATGTTTTGATAGGAAAACGAATGAAGCCCGACCCAAGAACTTTTCCTCAAATCGGTCTGACTGCTGCAGACCTGCCCTCATTTACCAGCGGATATGCCATAATAAATGAGCTGGAAACCAGAACTAGACAAAAGAGGATGCTGGACGAGGTTATTCACGGTCCAGATGACGTCTCCAAGTTTTTTGAAAGAGTTTTCCCGGAAGTGCATCGTCATCAAAATGTGGGAGAGAACAAGACAAGCGACTATAAACTCTGGGAGGAGGGAGAAAACGTAATAACAGTGGAGGAGGACTGTGATCCGGATAGTGTGAACGAGAAGAAGTGGGACGTTTATGTGGGGGGACCTGCTGCTATATTCGGGGCTGTCATACAGGCACAGTCACAGGACGGTGATAAAATTCTGTATGCTCACGATGGGCTGAGAGGGATTTCTAACTGGAAGGGGTCCGCATCCTGTTACGTTCCGTGTACTATTTGTCCGCAGTATTACGGCTTCGACAGCAATGGTCTGAATGTTGCGTTTAGGACACTCATTGATGGTATTCATCGGCGACTCCACTATTCAAGTTATCTTAACAAAGTTAAAACTGATGGAATGTGGATGAACGTCAGAATCAATTTCAATGCTCTGTTGTGTGATCCTGGAAATTTGTGGATGGCGATGAAAAACCAGTGGAACGCTCTCAAAGACGTTGGACTTTACATTCGAGGAACAGCACTTAATCCAGCTGACAAGACAATAGCTTACACTTCAGTTCACCACGCCACACGCTCCCCCCTCATACTCAAGGAACTGAAACTGGGTTATGACGTCATGTACCCATCAAATCAGCGAAACATGTCACTAGATGGCAATGCCGGGAGGAGGAAACACCCACCTAGACTTGTTGACATAGGTAGATTAGAAAGAGTAGTAGGGCCAGGACTTCTTAAGATTAGAGCCCTCTCGAGAGATGAGATAGCGTCACGTGGTTATGATCCTGAGTACATATTGAACCTTGTTGAGCGTCCTCTTGACGGAGCTCTCTTAATGGACATTGACGAGCACTTTGAGCGAGATATAGAACAGAACGGGGGAGTGGTGAGGGATAGTTCAAGGTTGAAAAGCGTGAAGGTAAAGCCCACAAGTAACGGACAGGACTGTGTAGTGACAAGGGTAGTCTGGGAGGACTGTGTTACTGGAGAGCAGTCAGTGACCCACGTCAACACTCTTCACCTTTCACTTGGACCTTCCATGACAAAGCTACTGGTTAAGACTAAGCAGGGCTCTCTTGTTAACTCACTTTTTAAGTCGAACAATCTAATGGCTAGAATGATGTTAGCGACAGGGAGCACGATGGTTTTCATTGTTAAAATAGATAAATTGGTGATCGGGGAAAGAGAAATTATCAAGTTTAGGGACGATTTTAGAAATGGTAACAGACACTGGCGGATGATGGCTGAGCGAGAGGTAGAGATTTCTGGCAAACTTTATCACGTAATGGCTATTCAAGGGTCTGGTGGGGCCATATTCCCTTATAAACACGCTCACCCTGAAGCAGCACTCAACATTATCAGTGCCATCATGACCCGGGGATTAGGACTAGATTCTAAAGGAATAGAGTTTGATATCTTATCTCTGAGAAGTTGCTCGAGAGGCGTAACTGCACATAATTTCCTTCGTTTTGGTGCTCCCGCAGGTAACATGGCTATGATGTATGGAACAGGGGGGCTAGGTATGGGAACTATGATGTCTAACGCACTCCTACTTAAAGCTGTCATAAGACAAAGAACCATGCTCTCGGAGGGTCAGATTACGAACCAGTTATTTGCAAAAAAATTGAAGACTAGTAACTTTGATAAGATTCCACATTGGAATGCCGCAAACCCGTTTTCTCGTGACTATTACCAGTTTATGGACAAATCTTATCTTTCTGCATATCGCCAACTGTTTGGAAGCAATAACAGATGTTCCTCACAGCGAACGGTTTTATCTTGGTTTTCGCGAATTATCAGAGTTATGAAGTAGAACTGAGAACGTGTCGATTTTGTATAATGATTGGTGAGACACGTGGTCACGTGATGTAATCTGATTTTACAGCTCAATAAGAACAGTAAGACATGACGATTGCATTTAGTTAATGTGATTTAGGTATGATTGATAACAGCCATGACCCTTCCATTCTATATAGTTTAAATACTTAGTTATCGATATTTATAATTTCTGTGAACGTAGAAATTGTCTCATCATAATTTAACATTGATTCACGATGTCAATCCTTCGCAGCTCGGTGAGGCACAGTGGTGCATCTCGCCGATCTACCGAAGTGTGGTTGCGAGAAGCATTATTTGATGCGCGCGCGACCCAGTAGTGCATCGCGCTACAAAATTTATCATTGCCATTTTAGCAATCGATTTTTGACAATCATATATTCGTTTCGAGAAAATGTGTAATGCTGTCCTCGCTATTTTTTCAATACATGCCTGATGGCTGATGCCGAGGAGACAGGAGTGCAGTGCACCATTAACTTCAACTTTCAAGTATTGACAATTGCATGGGCGAAGAGAGGACAGTATGGAACTAGAGCTCAATATCGATCGTATCCTATGTGAACTATAGTGCGCGCGCCATTTCCTGTCACAGTAAATGCTTTAAACTTTGTAGTCGCATGAGGCCGAAAAATAGACTTTAATTCTATAATATGTTTTCGCGCGTTCCGTGAAGTTGAACAATGATTGAACCCATTTCCCGGAAATTTTAGTGGTTCAAAATTTGCCATTCGAAACGAATTGTTGAGAAAAGACTAATCTTAAGTGCTAAAATTCAGCTAATTATGAACTAAGCTCAGATGAAATGAGAAACATTAAACCCTTTTCTAACTGCACGACCAATGACCTTGCAGCTTGACGTAATCGACCAAGATATGAGACACGGGGATTAATATGTTGAACAAATTAGCAAATTGTGGGAAGAAAGATTAATAAAACGGGCATAATAATTCTGTAAATTGTCTAACCCGTGATCCAGTGAATCCTTCTGATTCAAGAAAGAAGAAGGAGAAGGGTAGTAGCACGAACAGGGACAGGTTTGAACAGAGGAAAACCCCATTCCACAGATCTGAAAATAATGAGGTCATTTTCTTTATTGTAGTATCGATAAATACTTGAAAATTCTTTGCCGAAATTCTAAGAAATGAAGTTTCTGGAACACAAACATGGAAGTTCTACTTCCCTTGTTCCTCATTGAACGTTAACCTATTTAGAGCTGTAATAAGCTTTGCCGCTAGAGCAACGCCGACTCAAGAGGTCACTTAACTTACCCGATGCATGTAAATGTTCATTTTACAGGCACTTTAAGTCGGCGTCACAGAGATTTTGCAACATTTACAACCCCATACGTGACGCACAAAGCATCCCATTAATAACAGATATTCACAACATTTTAACAGCGACATTAGTGCCACCTAACATGAACTAAGATATTGCATTCCAAACATTCCTTCAAAACTTTATTAAGCACTGGACCAGACAGCATACTCGGGGGACACAAGGAGCATACTAAATTCCTGTCTTTCGTAAGTTCTTCAAGACAATGACCACTATAAATATCATATATATGCACCTATCATATGAGCGTTTCAATACATGTAACTTGGCAGGTGCAGCTAGTACTTATCAAGTTTCATAACACAGCTCATAAAATGTCACATAACAAACAGACCATATGGACGTAGGGGGGTGGTGAGTTAAAAATAAGTATTGTAAAGCCAAGTGTTGACAATTGTAGTCAACATGCACACGGGTTTGGCTCGAGAATTGTGCTCGACAAAATATCGGTCCAATTGTTTTGGTAAAACTTAAAAACTCAACGTCGCTGTGTACAAAATATCCTTACCTTGAGTGATAGTTCGGGTAAGTTTGTTATATTTTAATGATACAGATTATAATATAATAGAGATTGTGACTTGTCTTGTTGTGGAATGTGTGCGATTTCTGTGAGTTGAACGGAGTCTAACTAAAAGTGATATAACTGTGGTAAGGTATTTCTGTAATGGGAGATATGTATCTAATAACGAGAAAAAGAAGTCACATACGCCGGAGTATACTAGAAATGTCTGAAAGTACGCTCCTAATCTTATTAACTCGATAAAGGCTATTGCTTCATCTTTTTTCTGGTGCATGTAAAGGGGAGGGGGGGGGGGTAATCGCGATGTACGTTTGAATATTTGCTGTCATAAAAGAATGCAACATTTTTGTCTATATTGATAATTTGTGATCCCCTTCCTATTCTCGGGTATAACGTCACGCCTCAGATCAGGTTATCTTACCGTAAGAAAACATGCCAGTGATAGATAGTAATTTCTAGAATTAATTCATAATACTGGAAACCATATCCCTAAAAATTCGCATCATGTGGGAAAACTTACTAGATTGGCTCACGTTTACCATGAATGAAATCGGTTATCTACGAAGAAGAATCTATAAAGTAGTTAAAAATAAACTCAATATTTTAGGGATTATTTTTAACTTTTCGAAGTGAAATTCGAAATAACAATTGAACTGCTTCATTTAGCGTTGTTTTTAGCCTAAACTTCCACTCTCACGTTTATTACTCTACATGTCACCTTATGATGCACAATTATTCACGTGTAATTTGATACACCGTAAATTACCATCGATCGGTCTTTTCTTATCAGTATTTCACCAGAGCATTGACTACTCTAAACTCAGATAATTTATAAGAACGTATAGAAATCAGGTACACAGTACGGAGAATAACACCTGGCTCCAGAACTTGAGAAATAAGATGAGAGCTCTCTTAAAACTTAGTTTCATTAAGAGTTGTAAATCTGGCTCTGAGACGTAGCAGGGTATCATACCCTGGCACTATGATCATGAAGTGTAAGTGATTTCTTTTTATCTTAGTATTCAGGGCAACATTACTGCTACAGTTTTGTTACTCAAGTAGCAGCTTTTAAAAACCACGGAGCATGATATAGAGCAGTTTTCCGTCGCGACTTTGTGACGTAAAACCGCCTTAAATATCATGCCCCGTCGTGGTTTGTGACGTCATTTGTCGTGGTGGCAAGAATCAAGATAGTGTACCATAAAATACTAGAATATTGTACATTAGAGATGTGTGTATAATGGTCATGGTATGGTGACGTACTCTGGATTGACAACTACATTTGATAAGTTTAAAAGTGTCAAGGTAACACTTTCCCGATAACAGTTGTGTGTTATCATATACAGTTCCACTGTTCAAATAAGATAACATTTCAACACAGCGTAGTTTGAGAAATAAGAATGTCATGTATAATATTATATGTATTAAGCGCATCCCAATGTACATTGACTCGAGAGCCTAATAACATTTGCAGAAAACTATGCGGTCCAACGTATTTCCAGTAAAAAACTAGCTCTATTAAGCCAAGTGAAAAACGTATTTACTGCTGATCTGCTGCACAGATTGGATGCTACCCATTAATATCTTATCATATTCACTTACAGTTGAGTATCTTGGTGGATATATGATACTGATAGCAGTCAGTTTATACTTTATATAGACTAGCAGGAACCCGTCTAACCCTAAAGTGGTGTCAAGAATCAAGAGACTAAAATAATTATTACTTATTTAATTCGCGTTTTTGACACCACTTGGGGGTCCAAATTTTGGGCTCTAAAACTCCTATTTCTTGGCCAATTTTTTATTTTTTCATGCTGATTTGAAGGCCATTAAAGCATTTGACCCAGTCAAAAAAGTTTCAGTTGTATATCTTTTACGGTTTTTGCGGAAAGTCGTGTTAAAGTTGATGCCGTGGTGTCAGTAAAATGGCACAGATAAATATATATATATATATCGTCTCGCTTTATATATAGTAAGATATGAGCTGGGCTTTAACCCGTTTCAAATCTACAACAGCGATATAAATATTTTTTTAAACCACATACATTCTAGAATCTAGACCATTCGCACTTCTTGGAGAACAATTCTTGGAGAACAATTCTTGGAGAACAATTCTTGGAGAACAATTCTTGGAGAACATGCTAAGATTTAACATTAGCAACTACACGGTAAAACTTCCCTGTTTTTGTAGATAAATCAACAGGAAGCGCGTTAGAGTAGGTACATGTTACATTGTAAGACATGAGGGTGGTAGTAGACAATGGTATGTTGTGGCTTTTCATTATCTTACATGAAAACATGAACTAAATGGTACAGCTAATTCAATAATATTTTAATTGTTTTTATTTGTCAATAATGAATGAAAAATGGTTCCTCGCCAATTTTTTTAATGTGAAAACAGATAGAAATAAAACACAGAATCTGGTGGATTTTAGTCTGGCATGATCCGTTATGGTAAAATCAACTCAATAAAGACGAGCTCACTGCTCATATTGGCAAGGCGGGATTTAATTCATTTTTAAAAGCGTGGAATAAATAGTTGTGATCGTTTAACCGCCTTATTCTCCACAGATCTCACTTCAATTAAACTTCTCTCTACAACCGAGGAGATAATAATTATTGTCCGATTATTAACAGACAGAACACATGGTACGTGTCGATAAAGCAGTACGGGCAGTTAAATGCGAATAACTATAATTCAAATGTCAATAGATTGATTTATAATTGCAATTTTCAGCAAGCGTTTTCCAGGTCATTGTCCAGGTCACTGATGTTAGCGCATATGTAATACACACCATCAAATACTGCATATTGCATTTCATTTAATGAATATACTTAATGTCGATTGTCGCGTCGGGTGTATTATATCCAACAGTCACGTGTTATTTTAGTCACGTGCTCTCTGAACCAACACAACAGCTCAACCAATGAAGTACTGGAAGCACTGGCGGGATTGTTGTACAGTAATTTTGGTAGTTCCAGTTTACCATCCAGCTGGGAGGTGGAACTGGGAAACTACTTAATTTCATTGCATACAGCTGCCGAGGAATTGAGTATCATTGGATTTACAGTTCAGATTGCTGACGAAGTTTAATACTAATAATGATTCAGTTAAGATCAGGTCATGCTCACATAAAGTACTCTGTTTAGGTATTGTTAACCTTGTGACAAAGGAGAGAAGAGGAGTCATGAAATACCGGCAACGAAGACGAAGAGATAAGAGAAGATAAGAAGATATATAAGAAGAAGTGAACGCGACTGAGGGATGCGCCCGAATGGCAACGAATATTACATTATTTAGATCTCGTTATTGATCGGAGTTTTTTTACTATTTTATTATATTGTCTACATATTATTATAGACTTTTAGTGTTGTATCTTTCCACGAATTTATAGAATAATGTTTTAACTTTTAAGTCTTGCTAAAGTGAACCTCTAAACAGCATCTCGCCTTGACAAATACCATTTCATCAGAATCTACAACATCCGAGTTATGCATTTGCTTACACAATTACACGTGCTACAATAATTATACATTAGCTATTATACAAGATACATGCCTCATTATTTAGACACAGACCATTAACCTTGTCGTCCCCAGAGCAGTGGGGTTAATTAAAGGGAGTGACCTCATTAGATGTGGGCTTTATCCTCACTACTACATCTCTTTGTCATCATTACACGTCACACGTGACCTACCACGTGACCAACAATGTGACCAACTAAGTGTACAGTTTTGTAAGTTGCTACATTTTGTCATGTTCTTCTCCCATTTAAATGAGGTGCATGGTGAGAGGTGACCTTATTTAATATGTGTACATTTGGGGACTGATTATAGCCTTGATTCGCTCACATCCTCGCAGCTGACAGTATCTAATATACATATATAATATATATGATCAATTATAAGACAATACTATATCCCCCTATGTACATTTTACATTGTACAGTTGTAATGGCACTACAGTTTGACTGGATCTTGTCAGGTATTATAAAAGGTAAGTCTGCGAATATAAAAGATAAGTCTACGGATTCTATACTTGATCTGTGGAGGCCACTGATTAGCTTCAATCGTCCCACATACTCACATGCCAGCCAGCCTTCACTATATAATCCAATATGCATATTATACGAGACAATATACCGTACGCGTACGTGGGTTTGAGTATAACTTCAGCGGAAAGAGTACCCTGTAATGAGGTACACAGCCAGTGTATATCAGATAAAGACCATAATACTGCAGTCTACTTAGATATCACGTTGTAACTTATAATTGGTGTACAATTCTTACAACTGGGTATTGATACCAAACGGTCTAAGTGACTCCTATATCAGGTGTATATTAGCTGACTTCTATATCACAGTTAAAGACCGCAACGTTATAAAGACCGCAACGATTCTTTGTAACTGCAACGATATGACCAGCGGATTCTTAGAGTTGTCGTCTGTATTGTGATTCCGCTTTATATCATGTCTTTAATAAAAATCAAAACGGTTTGGGTTACTATGAAGAGCTATGAATATAACTTAGAGCCTGCTATTTTAAGACTGACTTTCAAATAAGCTTTTAAATGGTTTGAGTTACTTAAAGCTTGCTTTTAAAATAATAACTTTCAAATTATATCTTTAATAAACGTCAAAACGGTTAGTGTTAGGATGAAGAACTATAACATAAAGCCTGCCTTTATAAGACTCACTTTTAAATTAACATTTAGAGCAGCATACATGTGTTTCTGCAATATAATTATCTTTCCACGTTGCAGGAATATTCTAAATAACTTGATACATCACAACATAACTTGCTTGTGAATAATGCGCATAACTTGTGAATATAATTATTGTTTACTCAGCTCAGAGCAATGGTCCATAAAACAATTGTGGAACAAAGCCGCCACGACGACCACGACTGTGTTGTAGTAGCGTACGTGAGTGAAATATATTTTATTAAAATATTATAATCATGTACGGTACAACGAGAGCGTCACAAGTTTTTTAACTGACTAAAGACTGCCATTCTCAAGTTACACTTATATAGGTAATATAAACTTTAAGTTACACTTACAGGTAATATAAGTAGTTTAGTTACACTTATATTAATAGGTAATATAAGTCGTTACATTTTAATGTCACAGCAGCTTTAAATTTTATAGTTTATTACGCTGTTCAATAATCCTCAAACATTTAAACATATTTATTCTAGTAGTAGTAGTAGTATGTTAAGCTGATAATCATCTACTAAAACGTCAACCAACATTTAAATTGCCACTTAACAGTTTAATATTGCCATGGTAACTTAGCAAACATCATACAGCTTACGTATCTTACAGCTCCAAGAATCAATTACCTCAGAGCATCCGGTATAGTTTAAATACAGAGATTGTTTGTTCTAAATACAGACAAGAACAAGAGGACTTTGTGAGATACTGATATTTTGACAACCATCTTACTCCTTATAATGCAGACTGACCGTAGGCATGGATTACACTAGTATTTTGATAAGAACATTTGAAATAATCAGTTAATGGATCAATCTTTTTTTCGTAAAACTTCAACATCTAACGCGTATATTAGTATATATATAGCAGCCGCGAATAACATGATATTGATATGGCTATAATTAGCTTGGAAAGTTAATCAGTTTGCATACCGAGATAATAAAGATATATTATTGTCTAATTAACCATGCCAGCTGAAATTAGTTCAAATATAACAGAGTCATCAATATGGGTGTGATGTATCTATTGGCAGCTAGGTTAAACCACATACAAATAAATAATTAAATAATTAATTAATCAGTTTCCTGTACAACTTTACACGCGTCAGTTATCGTATGTTAACCTAAGTTTAGCAAAAATAACTCAATTATCTACGCAGCTATTTCTGTGCACAAATAATCTTGTTAAATGTTATATATAACATTAAACATTTAACATATTGGTCGCTTGATATTTTAGCAACGTATATATACGTTGCTAAAATATCAAGCGACCATCCATTTAATTCCTATATATAATATGTTAAATGTTTAATGTTATATATAACATATAGACGATGTATAACTTTTAAAGATATACCTGCCTTACAAGAATAGTAGTATTATTACAGGTCTCGTTTTATAAGAAGTAAACTTTTTTTTAAATAGACTCGGACAAACATCTAGGCGACTAAGCTAAACGACAGGAAGGCTTTCATAATAGGTTAAGCGATCTAATACTTACACTTATACCCCTTAGCTAAGGAGTACGGGAATTAACAAGTACTATGCAAACTGGTCATTCCATAAAACCCACCTTTGATAAGCTTGCCGTTGATCCACTTGAAGAAGTAACTATTAGGGCAGTGTCTAACCACCTCCCTTGATAGAATAGAGGTTGGGAGAAGAAGACTGGCTGCCAAACTAACGCTAAGAGTGAAGGAGCACAGGTATATCCTGCAAAGGAGTTCGTGTTACAATTATATGATAAATCATTTTACATTGAACAGAATCAAGTGGAAGCAAATTAACATCATAATTATAGAGACATAACACCTGGCCTGGACATATTGGAACAACTCTAGCATAGTAATCGACTTTGCACACTTAATTAATAATTATTGATACATTATAATATCAAGAACTTATTTAAAGATAAGATATTCTACTTACGTTATTCTGTACACAGAAGCTTCAGTCAAATCTGAGAAAGATGTGGTTACAGATCGCCTAAAATTATATGTTTGCTAATTACTAGCAAACCGATTGCTGTGTCCCTTAATGAATGGTTCATTGATAATATTTGCAGAGATCAATTGTCACAGAAAGTGTCTGTACATCTAATAATAGAAATAATTCATATACATGGTCAACTGCACCCAAGGCTTATATATTACCTTCATTTGAAGCATTAGATATGTGAGGTCTTTTGAATCTGCAGATAATGGCATAGGATATCATGTACAACACCACTGTGACCAGCATTGCCATCTGAAACAAATCAAGTTCAAATAAAAAAGCAAAACATTCAAATCTCAGGATGTAATGACAAAAACAAAAGGTTTTTATATCACGAGAGAAGCTTATAACATCTATTTTAGTATTTATAGAAATAAAGGAACACTTACAATGGCATGCCTGACAGCCTGGTAGAACTGTCCATCATCTGTTGTTTCTAGCTCGAAAACACCAGATCCTTTAGAATCATCCATACAACATTTTTGGCTGCAAGTTGTGAGGTTTCTTTAGCAATTAAACTAAGTTTAAGCATAATTTGTGTACACAGTAGTTCACAACTTGTGTAGCATTTAATAATAAAATCCATCATCACTAATGATTTCACTTATTATTAATTAACAAATAACATTTTCATCGTATAATATGATACAGTAAAAAAAAAGAAAAGGGGGGACCCCCAACCCATGTAGCTGAGACACCTCACAGCAAGTAGACCAAAGTGGCTCTTGCTTGTGAAAGGTGCGTCAACTACCCGCCGAAGCGGTGGGTTGGGAGTCCCCCCTGGGATCATTTCGTCCGTTAAAATTATATACAACATAAAATAGTACAGTAAAATATCAAAATTTACATAAACAAATCTAGGAGACCTCAAAGCTCGTCTTCTGGGGGATGAGGTTGAAGGAGATGTCATGCAGTTCAAGATGCTGGGCCGTTGATCTTCCTCTGATTCCTCTTAGTGCAATGAGTGTACTTCTTAACAGATCAAATCTGAATCGTGTTCTGATATGATTTTTGACTTGGCTCTTGGCTTCTTTTTTTATGGTCAGCTATCATCTCAGAGACACGATCTACAAATACAGTGCATAGCGGTCCCATACCTCCAGAGGTTGTGAAGACTAGAGGGACAAAGGATCCTTTCTCTGACTGAAGTACTCTCTCTTCATACAAATCTTTCTTTTCTTTCTCGTGATCTTTATAGATCTTATCTAGCGTCTTAAATGTGTTTGTGTCACAGTTAGGATGTGTGACCCTTATGTCAAAGAATGTTCTTTCAAAGGGTGCATACAATAATATGATACAGTAAAAACCAAATTTACCGCAGAGTTAAGAGGAAAGGAAATCAGGATTTTGTTCGTTTACATTATAATTATGCATGTTAAACCTTGTTTAGGGAGAGGAAATGGCTCTGGTAAATTAGGGTTTGCAGTAAATTAGGGTTTTACTATTATATGATTTGATTTGAAACTAATACAAAATAGCAACTATACAAATGTACAGCAAATCGAACAAACATATAAAATGGGCCGAAATGTATAAATGCTAAAAAGCGTGGGTCAGTGAAACAAGTACAGAGGACATGATGATGATGAAAATCTAAATATTATAGGCTACAATGAGCATTTTAGTAACAAATAGTATGAAAGATCTGAAATTTAAAAAATAAAAACCCTTAAAATATTTACACCCCAAGTTAAAAATATAAATACTTTATTTTTAAAAACACTATCAAATAAAGTGGTTGATCAGTCACTTGTGTCATTACGACGACGTCGTTATATCAAGTCAAAATATTCCCCAAAGTAATTTAAAGACGATTCCTGATCGAAAACGTTTTTAGTAGAAAAAGTTTTTCGAGTTACATAAATATCAATGGAGATGCAATTTTATAGATAAAATCAATAAAGCTTAAAAGTGAAGCCCAAAAACAAAGTAACACACCCAACAATGGTTGAGATGTGATACATCCAAGCAGTCTAAGTCGACAATAATATCATACATGAGTTAATATAAAACTAGCTCCAATGTTCATGTAACCAGACAGGTTCTACCAATCCAAAGAGTAAAGTAGGTTTCCATCTAGTCAGTAGTAAACAGTGTCTAGCACTGGTCGTCCTAAGAGGGACTCCCCATTTATTACAGGCCTGGGTAAGGCCGCGTACATACCAATGGATAGAGCATTGGCCGTCTAATGTAGGGACTAGACTTCCCAGCTAGGCGTGGGTGGGCCCTGTAGAAATACAGATCTTCCTTCTTAGCTTGAGGTCATCATTATTCACACATTCACTGCAGATTTGGATGAACTTTGGATCTCTGGAGCAGTTTAGGATCGCTAAGTGTGGAGTACCCAGATCTTCCAGACTGGAGACCTCGTTACCAACACTGAGAAGATATGAGGCTTGGTCCCTAAGGTCTTCGTCAACATGACCACAACTAGTCAGTATATGAATTGCAGTTTGTTCTTCATGACCACAGGAGCAATAGGGAGATGGCCATTTCAGTCTGTCAAGGATAAAAAGAAATGAGTTTAGAAGATTGTTTTTGTAAAACAAGCTCATGACTAGAACCTCAGTTTCTCTGCTAGTATGATGAGGGAACTTCAGGGGGGTGGTAGACACCATGGGAATTTGAGACCAGCCCTCCATTTGTAACTGGTTCTTAATAGATTCCTGCCATACGAATTCAGTGAATTGTTTGATAGAGACCTTGGTGTAATGGCAGGCTTTCCTAGAGAGCTCGAACAATTTCGAGGCATCATTCAGTCCAATTATTATTGCATCACCTGGCAGAACAGAGTCAGCATGTACTTCTACCTTCCACTTTAGAAATTTCAGCACATCCCGCATCTGGCCCAGAATTTTTGTGTTTCCAGATTCTATCTCTCTGCATATGAAGTCATGGTGTACATCGATATGTATACTACTGAATACCTTCAGGTAGTGCTTCACCGATATTATTCTGTTTGTAACCCGGAGTGGGGGTATTCCCAAGATGACCTCTAGTATGGCATTTTGAACATTGAAGACTGCTCCCACAGCAGATTTTGCAACCTTGTACCAAAGTTTGTTCAGTTCCAGCATGTTGGCATTAGTTTGCCAGATAAACGAGCCATAGAAGAGGGAGGAAAACATCACAGTTTTGGCCAACCTCACTAGGACCTTTTGGTTCATCCCCCAGTTACGGTTTGTATACCTGCTCAGACAAACCCAGCGGTAGATTAGCTTGTTGTATACATCCTGGCTGTGCTGCTTGAAGTTCAACTTACTGTCAAGTGTTATACCAAGTACTTTGCTGTTATCTGTGAGATAGATGGTGTTTCCACATAGATCAAAGGATTTGGGAACAGCTGAAGCATCTTGGCATTGGAAACATATAACTTCTGTTTTATTCACATTACAGTTTATGACCATCCTCCATTGAGAAGTCCATTCCCCTATGAATCCCATTGCCAGCTCTAGGTAAAAGAGACATTCTTCAAGATCTTTTCCAGTCACTTTGATGGTTCCATCATCTGCAAATTTGAAGGCCTGAATCTGCTCATACAGTTGACACAGGGTCTCCATGTCGAACACATAAAATTTGAAAAGGATTGGTGACAGAACAGAGCCTTGTGGCAGCCCATAATCGAGGCACATCCTAACAGGACCAATGAAACCATTAAGGAGGAGGCTTACCGTCCTCCCAAAGAGGAAACTATCAATTGTTCTTAGGTAGCATCCATGCACACCAGTCACCAACCTTCCATAGTTTCACTATCAGGCCTTGTTTCCACACCGAGTCAAATGCTTTTTCGAAGTCAATGAATAGGCAGAGAACGGTCAGTTTTTTTATCATGTCTCCTTTAATTCCAGCTGTTAGCCTGTGCAGATACCTTATAGTGTTTCTACCTTTTGAGAAGCCTTCTTGGTTGCTATCAATGAGTCCTATAGTGAAAAGATATGTTTCCAGCCGGCATGCAAGAATCCGTTCAAAGAGTTTGCCTATATATGAAGAGATTGAGATTGGTCTGTAAGAACCAGGCTTTGCATAACTGCTCTTTCCTTCTTTTTTCAGAAATATTATGTTAGAAGCATTCCAAACCCATTTTCCATTTCTCAGGCAGAGGCTAAAAAGTATACTCAGGGCATGCAATGCGTTTGGACCAAGGTGTTTGAGCATAGATGGATGAACTTGGCAGTTGTCGAAACTTCCTGCTGTGGATTTATTTCCCTTAATTATACCAAGGATTTCCCCGTGTGTAACTGGGCAGTAAAGCTTTGAGCTGTGTTGAAAGTTATCCATGGAATCAGCAAATGGCTGAAATCCATCCTCTTTGATTTCTGAGTATAGTTTGTTGGTTTCATTATAGAAGTTCTGATCAAATTTATCTATGTTTTCTACAATGTGCTTACCCATGAAGAATGTCTCAAACAACTCTTTTTCTATTTCTTTATTCTCTGTCATGACTGTCCCATCCTCAATAACCAGAGCTTCCACTTGTTGGTCAGTTGGAGGCTTAAAAAGTCTGTTGAAGTCTTTCCAGAATTTGTTTGCTTGAGCTACATTTAGATTTTGGGTCTTGTTCACTATAAACTGCTGACATGCTTGTTTCCTTGTTTCCTCAAAGATTTCTTTTGCTGCTTGAAACCTCTCAAAGGCTACATCTGTGTTTCTGGTCAGGTAGGTTCCAAGCGCATCCCTTAGTTCTTTTGATTTAGATGACAGCTCTTTTGTCCAATAGGGCTTACTGTGTTTTGTTACCAGCTTTAGTGAGCAGTTTGCTTTTGTAGCTTCATTTATTGTATCTTCAATTAGCTTCCATAAGTTGTCAATACTGTTGTCAAAAGCTAAGGATTCGGTTGCTTCTGCAGAAAGTGTATGTTCTATATCACTAGTCCAGTCGTCCCAGTTCATGGAGGATAGATCCAGTTTCTTTTCCGATTTTTTGGCACCTCTGGGACATCTGGGGTTGATAGTTATTGTCACAGGAACATGACCCCTTACTGGGGCTCCACTGTACAGAATGGCTTTGTCATCAGTGAAAGGAGTGCCCAGATTGTAGTCTAGGTCATTCGATGTAATGAAGAAATCAATGAGGCTGCTACCATTTTTTGATAGAAAGGTCCTAGATGAAGGAGCATGAACACTAAACTTTGACCAGTCTAGACATTCCTCAAGGCACTTACCATATTTGTTATTGACTGAGTCATTCCAGATAATGTGGCGAGCATTAAAGTCCCCCATGGTCAGGGGTCGACCGAGGGCAGGATTTTCGACCGAGGCCGAGGCCGAGGAAAATACAGTTAGTTAAGACCGAGGCCGAGGACAACCGAGGTTTCTTTTTTTGACCGAGGCCGAGGCCGAGGCCGAGGAGTGCAAATTTTGACCGAGGCCGAGGCCGAGGAATTTTGGCAGAAAAATTGTTGGGAAAAAGGGCATTGTTTATTAGGAAAAGCGCACTGTACCTAATCAGATTGTACTGTGTACTATACTGTGTACACACGTTACAATC